TTTGTAAAGAGATATTATATATATATATATATATATATATATATATATATATACGAATATATATATACATATATACGGTATATAAAATAACTCAGTACGTGACGAATAGACCGAATCACAACATTTCAGCTTGTATTTGTTTAATCCATTTTTTACCATATTCTATATCAGTAGGCCTAACTTGGTGGGTAAACAATTACATCAGCTTATCCTGGCTTTTCATAGGAAAACAAATTGTAAAGAATTATTTGCATAATTAGAGTTTTATTACGATGAAAATATTGTTTGTTCGTGCTTTTTAATGTTTGGCTCTGAATATTTTTACTAAACGAGCATGCGGCTGTTTTCTTTACTTTTGTTTTTTCTTATACTTGCAACATTTGGCCTCTGTGCTTTAAATAATGATTCTTTAAATGATAGTGCTAACGATGAAAATATTTTTTGTTCGTGCTTTTAAGGTTTGGCTCTGAATATTATTACTAAACGGACATGCGGCTGTTTTTTTGTTGTTGTTTTTGTTGTTTTTTTATGATTACAGAGTAGGCACGCTCCTTTCTTGATATTGCTTTTTAATATTTCTAGGCTTAATCCTTTTATAAACTTAAAGGTTCTGAATATTTACAAGTAGTTCAATGTATAGCATATTGCTTTTGCTGCACTTTAATCAGTTTGAAACGATCAATATTGAAAGAAGTGCAGCATTCCCCCGCCGCTGCATACTGCATACCATATTTTCTGAATTTCAACTAGACAATACTGGATTAAGTATGGATTCCACAATCAATAACTCTGATATTAATATTTTTTATTTAACCTAGTCTATCGGGCATTTCTGTTGGCAGGTTTGATGGAAGCTGCAGACACAGTCGATTTTATCGAAAGTTGTTATTGGAAATGCAATATACGTATTTACTGTATTGATATAATACTTGATTACAAAGTTTGTTTTACACCATATACAAACAATACTACAGAGACCTACATTTATAATTTACTGTGGCAGTGAATTTGCAGTGGTATTAGAAAACTGTGAATATTAATCACCTTGTAAATATTTATGCGTTCCATATTGCCCAAGGCGCATGCTTAAGCACGATCACAAAACATGTTATGTAAAATCAACGCCACATGTTCGTCAATATCTAGATCCTTTTGTTGATCGCCCGATGATTGTATCGGAAACTTTGTAAAGAATGATCACGTTTTCCTCGTAAGTAAAACAGCTTCATGACAAAATATGTATGCCTTTATGTATGTAATACAAGTTTAAAATGTGAAAATAAAATTATAATAATGGTCGAGAAAATATTTCAACATTATCTCTAGACTTGCCAAAAGTCCTATTTTACTCATTCTGGACTAAGTTTATTTAGAGAAGAAAAATTAAATATATATAAAATTTGGTATGGCGCGCGCACTAACCGCAATAAAAAGTGAGTAACCCAAATTTAGGGCCTGGAACCAGACTAAATTATCTGCTGAAACATCACTTAAGCCATAGACAAAATCTATATTTCTAAGAATAAAAGAAGGAACTCCGTTTTTGTAGTTTTCTTTTAGTTTGTAATTTGGCCCTCACAGATATTGACGGTACCGTCACCTCTCCTTCGGAACTGCCCTCAATATTCTTAATAAGTTTTTACCACCAAAGATCTTAAAATATTCAATTCAATTAAAAAATACTTTTATCCAAAGAGAAAATTTAGTTGGTTATGGCTTAAAAATTGTAAACAAAATTAAAAGAACAGTGTACAATAAATAAAAAATACATACAATAGTTAAAAGTTATGTATAAAAAAGATCTTTGGTCCTTACTACGGCGACGAGTTCGCACGTGAAACGCCCACGAGGAAGTTAAAGAAAAGTTTGCAAGCCCTTACGGTGGCTCAGTGGCCGCTCATACGTGCTTTAAGTTAGCCTATTATTGATTAATCATATAGTAATACAGACATAATCGGGTAATAAAGGAATGATCGTCGGTACACCTACGTTATTTGTGGTTCACTTGTGAAGATGGCGCATCTGGCTCGACTTATTGCTTGTGCGTTAATATGCGTCGTTTCTGCCACTACTGATTTAAAGTGTTTTAGTACATACAGTGTTTCTTCGAATCGTTATCTCAACCATACTGGTATTGCCAATGTGACAACCGAACGAAATCTAGGGATGTGTGCATCCACTTGCCAACTTGATTATCGCTGTGTTTCCGCCAACTTTGCTGCAAATAATCAAGAATGCCAACTTCTGACTATAAATGAAGAATCCACTCTGATATACGACGTTCAATGGATTCACATTACACTTAGGTGGCCGGTAATGTTGCTAGTTTATAAAATATTTATAGACTTCCATACTTCTAATTTAAACCCAGTACTATTAGTGGGAACGGTTGGCGCAGCGGTTGTGTTTCGGTCTCTCAACCTTTAGGTCAGGGGTTCGAACTTTCGCTGTGCATTTCGCTTGTGTTTTTGGACAGAGCACTTTACCTACCCAGGGAGGAAATGGCCACCCTAGCAACACAATGCCGAGGCTTAGTACAATGGGCCAATGGCATACATCTTGAAGTCTTGAAATGGGGGGTGCTGATGTGGAGAGGGGGCCGCGAAGTAGAATTGGGGGGGGGGCTCGATGATCATTTTAAAGGGCGCTAATTCGCAAGATAAGGTGATTTTAGTTGCTTTTAACTACTTTAATGTGATTTTGGAGGACGAATGGGGGAGCGCGAGTAATTTTTGGAGGGGCGTGCGTTCCCCCACCCAACCCCCGCGCACCCCCAGGTACGCCACTGCGCATGGGCTAACAGCTCATTCCCCTACTTCAAGTAATGAATACGGAACTAGCTTTATCTTGCTATTAGTTACCCCTGCACTAATAGTAACTTACCTTAAAAGTTAATCTACACAAATTTAACCCACTCTCTATAGTAACCCAATGGAGTTATCATTGGAATGCCAAAAACATTTTGCTTTACAGGGGGATTTTGACTTTTCTTAAAATGTCCGTAAAACTGAAACTGTCTATTATATGCGTTTTGTTTTTGAGTTCTCTATAAAGAAACAATTAAGCAATTGTATACTGCATTTTTCAATGTATTGTGCAATAGCATGAGTGACCAATTATTCCATTTGTAACCCACCTTAAAAAAACTAAACAAAGGAATACTTCCTATTCTGATCTTGACATTGCGTTGTATTGTGAATGCTTTGAAAACTTGCATACACGTATTGTGTCAGAACACTAGTACAGTCTCTCGTAAATTTAAACAATTTCAAATCATCCAAGAAGAATCTTAGTGTTTTAGAAGGTACCATTTTCCCCCGTGACATTTTCCCCTGGACTGTTTCCCCCAGGACAATTTCCCCGAAATTTTACCCCTCCCCTTTTTAAAATACGAATTTAAATACAAGGAATACATCAAGATTTATATCATCTCAATATTAAATCTTTATTAAATCAACTGCACAAGTAACAATATATGAATTACATATATTAAGTCATTAAGTTTACTTTATTTTCATTTGCTCATTTTTAGTTACTATACAGTATTTATTTTTGTTAACAAATTAATTATGATATATGGTATAATGATTAAACAAACGTATAGTAGGTACCGGTAATAAAAGTGTTATAAATGTTGGCATTACATCTTGTATTTAGAAAGGTATTCCCACAACCATGATGTGCCCATATATAGTCATGATGTGCCCATATATAGTCATGATGTGCCCATATATAGTCATTACGTGCCCATACTTTACCAATCAGCCTTCAGTCTTGCTATCTTATTGCACAAATAAATATCATAGGAAATTAAGTAAAATAAAAAATTACAATGTATTATAAATTAAAATGTATAATTGAAATTAGGCCTAAAAAATAAATTGTTTGTTTGCCCTTCGTTTTTTTAAATGATAAAAGGAGGCGGGTGGAAAAAGTTGTTTTTTTTTTTGTTTAAGATACTCATCAGATGGAATAAAAATAACCCACAGAGACCTAGAATGGCAATATCTTCCATCAGACAACAACTTTAGATTTATTTGTAGGGCATCTGGCAAAAAATAAAGATATCACTCACATTTTTTTTATTGTAAAGCAAAAAGCTAAAAAAAATTTTTTTTTTTTAAGTTTTTTGTTTTTTTTGTTTTTCTGCCCCTATTTTTTCAGTGAGTTAGGGGCGGGTGGAGGAGGGCAAACAGACATTTTTTTGGCCTTATATATATGAGAAGAAAATAGTAACTAAAAATTAGCAAATTTAAATAAAGTAAACTTAATGGTTTAATGTATGTAATTCATATTGTTATTTATGTTTGTTTTTGTTACTTAAATATTACCATTTAAATATTGTTGTTACTTGTGCAATTGATTTAATTGTTTGCATTTTGTCATCGTTCTAAGTAATCCATGGATATCAAATTTTGCATAATAAGGCCTAATAACAAATTCAACACCAATGAGGTAATACACTTTCCGTTTTCTCAATATCAATATTACGGTATTATATACTACTAATAGGACTATTATTAATAATAATACCGGAATAATAGTAATTACTATATGACTAATAATAGTAATAATAATAATAAATAAACAATAATAATAATATTTAATAATAATAATAATGTTAAATAGCGATTCGAATAAACGCCCCTCGAATAAACGCCCCCTCCAGAGCCTCATTAGGAATACATGGCTCCCTGGAATGTAATGTCCCAGGGTATATATTTTTTCATCGAATAAACGCCACCCCCTTTCCTCCACCAATACCAATCTTTTTGGCTGTAAACAACCTAAGTGGAGCAACATCATTCTCAACACTAAGGCGAGTTTATTTAAATATATAGAAATCCATTTTACACCAAAATAAATAAACGTCTCCCTCGAATAAATGCCTTTTTAAAAAAAACCTTCTCAATAATGAACACCCAGGGGCGTTTATTATAATAAATACAGTAATAATACCGGTAATGTCTAAACGTATTACCTGTATTTTGTCGTTAGAATACGAGCTATAGTAACAACAGCATAAAACCGACACTGGCCGCAAAATCTAAGGGGTTTGTCAGTGTTGGGTATAATAGTGTAACTGATAAATACCATCGTGCACCAGATACTATGGATGAAATGATACCAGGATGGGATGCAATAACCTTCACCAACGTCAATATTGCTAGGTACGCGACCACCACCGAACCCACAACTGCTCCAACAACAAATCCTACTACAACCATACCTGCAACCGAAGAACCAACTGCTGATATTTATTCTGTGAGTAAAAAAACACTTTCATGACTAGCATGCGTTATTGACGGGATGTCTAAAGCCAAGCACATCCACTGCGTCACCCGATTGTCAACGACTGTCGGCCGACAAAACAATTTCCACTCTGTGAGCGATTGACGACGCGACACCAGCTGCGGATTTTCGGTGTCAGACTGTGCGATCGTCATAAAAAAAAACAAGAAACGATCCAAAGCGCGCACCTCCTTACGTTGTGTTCATTGTAGTGGGGGGAGGGGGAGGAGGGGCAGCAGCGGTGTTAGGAGGAGTTGGCAGCCGTCGGACAAGCATACCTCCGTCGTCCGACGCCACGATGAGGTCGTCGCGCTACTAATTTGCCGATCCAAGATTGCCAATTCCTATACTGGCTAAAGCACAATTATTGTGGGCCATCCTAAACCATAATTCTCTCACCATGAGCTCCACCGGCGATTTTATTTCGGCCTCTCAACGGCATTGGTTGTGTTCTATCTCCACATGGAATCGCGTCGGCCGACGGTCATCGTTTTGGGCCGGCTTTAAGATGTACTATCTGTCAAAAAGACAAAACCAAATTCAAATACAATTTTGAATATTTTATTTGAAAGTATCAAATAATTTATTAGCTTCCAACGAGAAACAGATCTTTCACCAATTTACAAACAATATGCTGCAAAAATTCTTAAATCGATGATTAATCAATGCAATTTAATGCAGAATACAGGAAAATTATTATTTAGGTCTCTGTCCGAAATTTTTTTTAATTTAAATTATTAATTTTAAGTTAATAACTTACTTAAATATACAAATTTAGCAATTCAGATGTGAAATTAATTTTTCTAATATGTACATCTTTAAAGGCCAACTCAGACAGCGTCGGCCGACGCAGCTCGACCCGATTAAGCCGTCGTGAGAAATATTAAACATGTTTAATATTCTACGACGCGACTGCCCCCGACGCACACCATCGCGTCTGCGTTTAACTCACACAGACCCGACGCAACAACAAATCGCGTCGGGCTGCGTCGTACGACGCTGTCTGAGTTGGCCTTAAGTCTAAAATTAGACATGTAGTAAAATTAATTTAGAAACATTATAACAAATTGCGTTGCTTATTCCCCAGGAACCCAGCAAACATTTAAAATTTAATTTTTAATAGGACAAGTTGGAAAGAAAATATGTTGTAACTTGCGAAGTAACGAAATTCAAATATTGATTTTTATTATCCAAACATAGCTCTACATTTTAAGTACCTGATGGCTTATAATGTTATAACATTATTTATTTTCCAAAACAATACCGTAGTCGATCGCCTTGTTTGTTGTCGTTCTGAGCGTGTTTATCTTGGATTTTCAGTACCTGTATCGTGAGTCGAACATCACTGAGGCTGAAATATCCTGGAACTTCGACTTCTCGGATACTCTACTTCGAGTTACCGATCTTGTCATTAATGGAACAATAGATTTGTATCGTGGCGGAAATATTACCTACAACATCTGTGGCGAAAAATCTACTAATTGTATTGAGGGGTCGGGTAAGAAAAATTAGATTCATAGCATTATCGTAACCGGCATGCACACACACACCTACCCATCCACAAACACACCCATCTCAAAACAGTGGCTGAACCAGGGGTAAAAAATGGGCGCTTATTCGAACATTGTATTTAGAGAAGAGACTGTAAAAGATGATGATGCTGGTAATGATTATGATGACAATGGAGATGGTGACGTAGGGGCGGATCCAGACCTGTCCAAAAGGGGGGTGGAGCGAAGGTGGCCGATAGAGATAACAATACCCTAGGGGGTCCCCTAAAAAATGCTGTGTTCTAGACGCCCGAAAATAACCTCTGAGGCATTTTGGGTGATAATTTGGTTCTTTTTCTTTCTTCTCCTTTTCGGGAAGGGGGGTGCGGCCGTCCCCCTCTAAATCCGCCCTTGACGAAGAGGAATCCGACAATGATTATAACGATGAAGATAACTTAAAGAATGATCAACCCACGTACAATTTCTAAACTTTTATTTATTCTATAGGAGTTGATGTTAAAACCTCTGTGTTTGCGGGAGCAAAGCAATTGACTGTGAAGTTTTTATTGTCTGGAGAATCCGAAGATTATCCAATACTGTTCCCAGTTTCAATCTACGCGCCCGAAGACACTTTCGGCTTTTTCGTGAATATCACCATGACTGATGACTGTCAATATGAATGACGTCATTTAATTATTGGCACTATCAAATCATTGATCAAGCTGTTTGCAGTTCAAATGAATATATTTAAATAGTTATATTGGCCTATACTGACGTGTACCTTTTATAAGCTTAAACTTGGCATGGCCGGCGCCCCATAGTTTAGATAGATGGGCGGCGCATCACATGTGCTGTCTCATTATGTCACTTTCATCATTGTAGCAGGTTAATGATATAGAAACACCACATCAAAATTAAATGGAAAAAAAATTTCCAAATTTAATGTAAGTATTCTACTCTACAAAAAATAAATAAATAAAATAAACTTTCCAAATTGTACGGTGTTTCAAAATGCTACGTTTAGCCCCGGAATTACCAATTTATCAACCAAAATGCATGTGAAGAGCCGCAAGTCTAACTGTCGATGACCACTTACCTATAATAGGCCTATATAAAAAAGAATGCCGAACGACAACTGACCAACTAAATGTCGCAGTTTGCTGGCAAAGCTTTATAAATGGCACGGGATATGAAATACTAAAATTGTTTTTAAGCATGATGCTGTGATTGGAATATTGGAATTTTGCAAGTGTATTCAGCGTTATAAATTCGAACCTGTAAAAATTGGTGGTGTATCAATTTACCCTATTAATAATAGAATGAAGCCTAATGATCGAAATGTATTGTTTGGCGCACGCAGGCCATGACATGCAAACATGGGGTTCTGGTTGCTTAAACAATAGTGTTGTATCTGCAGCTGCATCTATGTACATAACTTGGTATGATACAACCCTTCTTTTTTGTAGGCTTCAGTGAGGCGCTTATTCGAGAGCGGCTCTTATTCAAGAGCGGCGCTTATTAAAAAATATTGGCGTGGCGCTTTCCATCCTATGTTACATCTCACTTATTCCCATAGTTTGGTACCTATCATAGACCCTACATCATCGTAAATAAACGTTTATGAAGATATGCTTGTGTCTTCCGTTGTGTTATTTATTCATTTGAACGCTGTATACATTGTATTTATTAAACTATTTCTTAAACTGTTTCATTATTATTATAGGCGCTTATTCACTCGAATAATAAAGAGCGGCACTTAGCGAACAAAAAAAATCACGTTTGGCGCTTATTCGAGAGCCGCGTTATTCGAGCATTTACGGTATCCGGAACCAAAAAAAGTGTCCCCTTGACAAAGGTAGGCCTATTATTAAGGATCAAAAAAAGAATCGAAATTGGTTGACACTTATTTATTGGGTAGGTTAATGGTTAATGCCAAGTGGCGCCGAGAGGTCGGGGTACGGCGGGGAAAGTGCCCCGGGGCCCGGGATACTATAGGTAAAAAATAATATAATAAAATAAATAAATATTTTATTGTTCATTATATACAAAATATAATGAACAATGTAAAAAAAATGGTATAATGATAATCACCTTTATATTAATAGCGATAAAACTAAAATAATGCTTCTCAGAAATAATCACTTTAGGACCATTAATAACACCTTAAATATTGTTCTTGATAACACAAAACTTGAACAAGTTTCCAGCATAAGGTACCTAGGAGTAATAATTGACGCACTCTAAGTTGGAAACAACATGTGCACATTTCTAAAAATGTGGAATTTAAAATTACAATGTTGGACAAAATGTCTGGGTTTCTTAATAAATCACTATTAGAAACTCTGTACTTAAGTACTATTCAGCCTTATTCTGAATATGCAATAACTGTTTGGGGAAATTTGTCCGAACTTAATAAGAAAATTGTTAAAAGACACCAGAGAAGGGCGGCTCGTATTATAACGGGTAACTTTGATTATTGAAATATTAGAGGTGATGATATTATTCATTCTTTGTCCTGGCAATCGTTTGAAGAGAGAAGGGATTTTGCCATTGCGTGTCTTATGTATAAATGTATTCAAGGTCTTGCGCCGCAAAGGCTTTTAAATGAAATTGTATTACCTGTCTCTTATACACATCTAGATGTGTATAAGAGACAGCACCTAAGTTTAACTCGTATAAAATGAGTTCGAGTCTTAAGGTTGCCGGAGCAAAAATCTGGAATGAATTACCTTCAAATATCACCCACTCACCTTCAATTTATTCTTTCAAAAAGACTTACAAGGCTCACTTCTTCCCCCTTAAATGATTTCTGGCCTTGTCTGATTACTATTTAGGTTTTTCTGCTTTTGAAAAACCGCACCCCCTTATTTGAGGTGGCGCCGTCAACTTAGCAGTGCACGGTAAGGGAGCCGCAGGCTTATCCTCGGTGGAAGCTACCGGAGCCCAGCAAACTGACGCCGAGGTACCTGCGTGTACACGGTAGTGATGGCGGCGACATCTCAAAAGCGGGGGCGCGCGTATGCCATTTTCGTGATTTCTGAAGAGGAAATGGAGGGAAAAAAAAGAATGAAAAAGGAAAGAAAAAAATGGGGGAGGAAAAGGGTTTCGAAATGATGATTATGATTATTAATGCCTGACTCTGGGTGTGTTCTTTTGTGTTTTGTTTATCATTTTTATTTTGTTGTTGTTGTTTATTATTATTGTTATTATGATTGTTATTGTCGTTATTAATGATATTGTTATTGTTATTTTTTTTTTTCCAGGACCACAGTGAAAAACATTTCTTTAAAATGATTGTGTCATCCTGGCTAAAGATATTAGTAAATAAATATTATTAAATGTATACATTTATCCAGTATCATTCATGTGTTTTTCCCACGATGATTGTAAATGAAGCTGACCGTTCATCGATGAAAGCTGATAATTAATCGGTTCTAATTCTTTTTCATGAATATTTCCATGACTACTATTTCTAGAGTTTATTTTGAATTCAAGTCGTAAATTCTTTACGTTATTGATTAATGATAATTATAAAAGACTTGGACCCTGGACATCATTAATATACATTCAAGTTAGAAAATACAAATAGACCTGATAGAGATTCGATTGTCAAACTGAATTAATATATTAAACCCGCCAGTGGCGGATTTAAATGAAGGGCCCGAGGCCCTGCCGCATTATTTTTTCCCCATACGGTTAGGGCAGAATTCATTATATAGAGGGTGAACTATACATGAATATGCATGCCTGACCTCCCCCTCGCGAAAAATAATCTAATTAAATAAGCCTTGGTAGTCAAGGCAGTGTGAAAATTAAAGGATTATATTTGTAATAATGACTAGACACAGTTTATGTACAGCACTTTGAAAGTATAAAGCACGTGCAGTAATATTGAATCTGGCTATTTGAGCACAGCAGGCCTATGTAGTTATAGGATGATGTGTTGTTTATAATAATAATATAAATAATAATAATTTATTCGGAAACCTTTGAAACAGTGGCACACTTTATGATAAAGGTGCGTCCAAAAATAAAAGATGAAATGAACGGCTTTCATATTCTTTCATCATACAGTCAGCGGCCACTGCTTTCGCGAGTGAGAAGTCAAGCATGTATATTCATATATCAGTTCACACAAATGACCTTAAATAATGCCTATAATAATGCCTATCTATAATTGATGCCAACTGTATGAGGAAAAAATGCGGCCCGGACTGCCAAAAAGATGCTCGGGGCCAGCGGCCGCTCTCGGCGGCTCTATTAAAATGCCTAATTATTAAAGATGCACACCATGAGCCTATGAATAAATATTTGGTAATCACAACTTAAAAATTTCACATACCTACAACATGATTATTTTGAGACTATTTGTTGATAAATAGAGATTAAACACCGTATTGGATTGAATAATAATTTGGTACCATCATGCTCGTCCCCCTCTCCTTCAGAGGTGCCAGTGGTCGAGTGTATAAGCCCTAGCCCTCAATAGTTTTCTTTTTGCTGAAAGATAATATATTTTTATTATTATTATTAGTACATATCCTGTATTATTAATATTATAATTATTATTTATCATCATCATCATTTTGATGCGATTGATTATTGATTGATTTTATTCAGTAGCAAAATTATACAAAAATACAAAGTATAAGAAGACAGAGAAAACAAAGACATGATACCCAAGGACCCAACATAAGTAAAAAAGAAACCTTATCCGTTGGTCTTTACACTACAGAATTAAAAAATCAGCAAAAAAAAAAAAAAAAAAAAAAAACAGAATTAAAAAATCAGCAAAAGAAAAAAAAAAAAAAAAACCTGCAAAGACAAATAAAATTTAGTAAAAATGGACGATAAATACATTGCTATAAAGTGTAAAATTTCAATTTGAAAGTTACAATAAAAAATGTTTAAGATTTAAATAAATTATAAAATTTCACCATAGAAAAAATACATTTGTTCCTAAGCGCCATGAGCACTTGATAATGGTGGGCACCGGCGCTTTAAACGTCTCCAGAATTATTATTATTTTTAATATTTAAAATTATAACAACTTCTTGGATATGGTTGGGAAGGTCATTCCACACTTTTATCCCTGGTGGATGGGGGAGGGGATCATGGGCGGATCCAGTAAGAGGAAGTTCCCCCACCCTGTCTTGCCTAAATTTGAAAAATTTCAATGCATAATGCTATCTACTCACTCATCTATTCTGAACTTGATAGTGCCCCCACATTTGAAAAATTCTGGATCCGCCCCTGGGGATGTAGAATGGCCCAATCTATTATATTATTATTATATTAGTATTATTTTAGGCCTTCATCACCATTCATCATATCATACCAATCGTGCGCGTTTATCACTCTTAAACCATTATCTTAGTCTTACTGCTGGTCGTAGTATATTGCGCCACCAATAACGAAATCTTACAGTTGTCGTCAAAATTACTTCCGCCCTGCCTTCATTTTGGTTGTTTGGCGCGCTCTCTTATTATTTACATTTTGCTATGAATTTTGCTATTTTGCATTTGGCATCTATTTCAACATTATCCACTACTCATGATGAGAGGAAATATCAATAAAAGTTTAAAAAACGCAAAATTAATCGGTCAATAGAATCGGAAAATGATGAAATCCAGGATGAAATAATTCCAAAATCAACAAAAATTGCATTTCACTGGTACTCGAAAAAGAAATTGTCTGGATGAATTCGATTGGCTGTGGTATTGAAATAATTAAAGTATACAAAGGATTAAGCCAATGGAATTACGTGTCTTAAGATCGTAGTTGTTGGCGGACTAATATAGAAAAATTAATCAATATCATTCCGCACCGAGCCAACCCATGTGCAAAATAGTCAAACCGGTGAATGGTAAAATCCCAGCTCGGATGCCAAACTGTGATAGAGGGGGCAAGTTGTCGATTTTCCGGGGCCATTTTGTTGACTTATTTCAGAATTCGGGCCTAAACTTGGCATCGGAATTCATTGATTTACTGCAGACTCGGAATCGGCATCACTATCTGTATTGATTTCACGTATTCTAGAAGTTTAAGCAGCAATGGCTGACACAAACCACCTCGCAAAGATTCTAGAAAAGACAGTATCCCCAGGTAATTAGAAGTGTATTGCACCAAAACGTGTTGTGTTCAGGCTAGGCTAGGCTGGCATTCTCAGCCTCAGGCCTAGGCTCTTTGCTAGGCCTAGCCTATAGGCCTAATTAGTTTTCAGGGTGATCTAGGCTTAAGCACATTTTAAGTTTTAGGAACATTCGTCGTGAATGAATTGTTAATAAGATATTGCATGCATGAGAATATCAATGAAAATTGACCTGTAGGCCTATTCTATTTTATAACTGCAATTCTATGGCCTAGGCTAGGCCTACTTTTCTACTCTATTAAATTAGAAAATTGAAATTTACAAATATTTATTTATGATAAGGGAAAGAAGTGAGATTGTTGAACATGTGCCAATGAATTAGTTTGGGGCATAAAATCAACATACATACTGGCACTTTCCAGCACTTTTTTGTTTTTTTCACTGAAGTCTACTTTTTTTTTACTTTGAATGTTTGTGATGTTCGTTCCTTTTGTTTTGGAAGATTGGTGATCTGCACTCACACTTTTATATCTAAGACTTCTCCGGAACATCCAAACCAGAGTACCGTAGAAGTCCAAGTAGGCCTCTAGGCCTAGTAGTAGTACTCTACTACTTTTTGCTAGTTCGTCAAACATTTCAAGTCCTATTCTAGAAGTTGTTTTACTGTATGAATTAAGACCCCTTGCAATGTTTACATTGGACCAGGCTGAAACGCTGGCGGCGCCCTAACTAGAGGCAGAAAGGCTATCTTAATACACTGTCTGGGTTATATTTATTTTTGTTGTGCCAAAAATATGAAATCCACATGGATGAAAATCACATATGACATTTACATATATTAGGAATTGACAACAAAAATAAAAAGTGAAGAAACTTTATTTTTCTATTTTTATTCAATTTTTAAACTCATCTCTTCGGATGTTGCCATGTGCGAACGCGCTAGGCCAAGAAAGTTCAAGAGTGTGGCGACATCGTCTCCGCCGGTATGAAGGGCCTCGAATAGGCCTGTGAATTTTCTGTTTACCCCATGGTAAGGCTAGACTAAATTTGACAAACCTTTTGAGGTATTCGTTAATAAATGGAATAATTACTCAGAAAGTAATCATTACAACAACATTTGGTAGACATTATTATAGTTGCTTAAAAGTTATATTGAGGCAGTTGAATGGATTGAATATATTCTGAAAATACATTTTTCTTTGCTTCTAACTCATAGGCTGAACTTCTGCATGACGTTGCTTTCAGCGTCCATCGCGTAACGCGGCCAAACTGCGGTTTCGTTGTGTAAGGAAGCTTTCTTGGTCTGGCGCTCTTGCACATGGCAACATCCGATGAGATGTTTAAAAATTGAATAAAAATAGAAAAAATAAAGTTTCTTCAATTTTTATTTTTGTTGTCAATTCCTAATATATGTAAATATGTCATATGTGATTCTCATCCATGTAGCTTTCATATTTTTGGCACAACAAAAATAAATATAACCCAGACTATTAAAATAGCCTTTCTGCCTCCAGTTAGGGTGCCGCCAGCATTTCAGCCAGGTCCAATGTAAACATTGCAAGGGGTCTATAGACATAGCCTACATATTACAAGTAAAAAATATTTAATATAGAACAATTTCTTTGTTTACAACGCATCTATCTAGGCCTATATGAACTTGTATTTGTACATATAATTACATAATTATTTTTAAGAAATTGATCATCATTTTTCTGGCTTCCTTTCTATAAAGGTTAACTACTTCATTTTATGAATGAATAATAAATTATTTTCTATGATTTGGCAGTAACTAATCACTTATGCACTGTGAAATGCTGTGCATGCACCATGGATTTAGCCAATCAGAATGCACACATTATGAAATGGACATGTTAACTGATGTATGAACTATACAATTTTACTCTGACTAACATACATTTTACTATTTTTATTTTAAAATATGACTGAAAATATATACAAATACAGTGAATTTCATCTTGGTTGATTCCTACTCTTTGTATCAGATTATTTTTTGAAATGAAACTGATTGGTATTTTGTATGGATCCTTGCGGAGTAAGCTTGTTTATGAGTGTAATTGAAAATTGTTGAGTTAAAAGATGAATCGTTCCAATTTGGAGCTTGTAGTGAATGGAACAGTCCATTTATCGAATAATACATGATGTGCGTTTCATAGGGTTAGGCGGGTAATTCCATTACCTTTATTGCATCCACTCATTGCACCAACACTAAACAAGACAGGAAGAATAAGGAAACGGATAGGTAACAAATGTAAGAATGTTTAGTATACTAGAATAGGATATTCAGATTTTTAATTCTTCATTTAAATCAATTTAGATACTTTGGTCACAATTACTATTTTTCATGTGTGTGTATTTATTAGATACTGCTGAGTTGGAAGGAGCTCAAAAGTTCTTGGAACAAGCTGCTCTAGAAAATTTGGTAAGCTATGTATTATCACAACCTCCTTTTCATCAATCTCATCCTTAACTTTTTCATCAATCTCATCCTCGTATTAACCTACATATCAACCTCATTTTCATCCTAATCTTTATCAATCTCATTCTTATCTTATTCTTCATCAGTCTCATCCTCATTTTAATACTCATTAATCTCATCCTTAATCGTCATCAATTGCATCTTAATCTTCAATCTTATCCTCATCGTAACCTTCATTCACATCCTTATCTTAATTTCCGTCAGTATCATGCTCATCTTAATCTTCATCAATCTTTATTAATCTCATCTTATTTTTGATCAATCTCTTCTTCACCAATCTCGTCCTCATTTTAATGTTTATCAGTCTTATCATTTTCGTCAGTCATTTTATCAGTCTTACTCATCTGCTTTATCCATTCTGCTTCATCAATCCTAAATTCTGCATCATCATTCTCATCTTCTTCAACAATTCCATCTTCTTTTAAGAGCTCATAATTCTTACTCCATTTGTTTTACAATTCTCAACTTCTCAGTTATTGTTAATGTTCTTATATCCTTCATGAATCTCGCCCTCATGTTTTTACCCGTCAAAAATCTCATCCTTACCATCATCCTAAATATCATGGCTTTATAGCATTATTTTCATATCCATCAATAATCTCATCTTTCTCGCCTTCATCTTCACATTTTTCATCAGTTTTCTCATCTTCACCCCATTCATCAGTCTCTTCCATCATTTTTACCTATTTCATCAGTCGCTACATCTTCACCTCTTTTATCAGTCTTGTCATCCTCATCTCTTTTAACGGTCTCTGCATCTTGAGCTCTTTCATTCGTCTTGTCATCCTCACCTATTTTATTAAGACAAGATTCATCTTTCTAGCATCTCACTCTTATCATTATCACCTTCTTCATCAATGTCTTCATCTTCACCAGGTTTCATCAGTCTGGTCATCCTAAATTCCTTCAACTCATTCACCTATCTTAATAAGTCCACCATCAGTCGTATTCCCCTTCATCAATCTCATCATCCTCACATTTTTATATTCTGGTTTACAGTAATATTTATTCACATCAAAAAATTCATATACAAAAAAATTACTCATTTGCAGCAAAAAAGCTGAATTGAGAGCAAAATGTTTGAAGTACTTAACTTCTTGACTTAAAAAAAATACATGTACAATTTAATATATGATTGAAATATTTATACATCTTTATCATCATATCCACTGCTATGTAGTTTGATTAGTTTTTTTTTTCTGCAGCCTGCGTTCCTTCTGGAGTTGTCCCGTGTTCTGTCAGATCCTGGAAACACTCAAGTGGTCCGGATTGCAGCTGGCTTGCAACTTAAAAACTATCTGACTTCAAAGGATGCCACGATCCGTCTGCAATGTCAAAAAAGATGGATCCAGGTATCCGCGGATGTCAAGCAAAGCATCAAAAACTTAGTAAGTTTGTCGTTGTCTTGAAAAAATTCCCACTTACGTCATCGATTGGTAGCTTGGTGCATTCTTGCCTTGAAATGTGAAATCCGTCAATCAGTTAATATACAAATTTTTTCCATTTAAAAAAAACAGTACAATTAAAATATTTTACAGAAAATCAATGGAGACAAAGAAGTGGAACAGTTCTGGCAAAACAAACTCAAAGCTTTTAACATGAAAGCCCAAACTAAAACAAATACACATTTATAAATGCGAGAATTTGTGTTTTCTTGCAGCAATTATGAACTCTCTTATACTTTATTCTACATGTGTCTGTACTCAGGACTATAAATGGGTACATTATGAATGTATTAGAATGAGATTAGCCTGTGCTGAATTATTGCCCAACTAGGAATACTTCACAGTGAACCTAGATGGTTCCACAATGTTTGATTGATTCTGTATTGGATTTATTCATGAAAAGCATTATACCTGTACAAACAAAAGCAAACAGTACAAGTGACAATATTGTAAAATAAAAGAATTTGATTTTTTTTTTGGTGTGGAACATTATGATGATAACCTACAGTACAAAATTCTGAAAACCTATTTCTAGTGGTGCCCTCTGGTGATCTTTTCTGAAGAGCACACTGCATTCTGTAACATACACATGGCCATATTTCACATGTACAATGGCTTAGACATCTCTTTCTGGCAGAAATGCAAGGAGTATGTTATAACAAGCTACTAAATTTAAGTAAAGATCTCCACAAGAGATCATCTACTAACAGTTTAGGTGAGAGAGTGTATCTCTTTCTATTTTAATGTCCAGGGAAGCAAATACATTTTGAGGTGGTTGTATAGGGTAGTTTCACTTATTATTAATGTTGTTGTATTTTTCCAGGTGATGAAGACCCTTGGAACAGAGGCACCAGGACATAGCACGGCTGCACAGGTGGGCTTCATATTCATTTATTTTGCTTCCATAATGTTAGTATATTGGCAGAAATTATATGAAAAATTGAAAATATTCAATTTTTGATGTTGTTTTAACAAAACAATCATAATTGTAAAGTCTGTATTGAGAGTTAGTAAAATTGTGTTAGAAATTTTTGTATATGTGGGTCCTTTGTTTCCACCGTGTCTTCATAACATAAATAACAATAATGATATTAATATCAAAGGATATGTTAGCAAAAAATAATTATGTGTTTGATTTCAGTGTATAGCCTGTATTGCATGTGCAGAACTTCCACAGGGCCATTGGCCTGAGCTCATTGAAAGTCTTGTTGCAAACGTTACAAGTGCCAACAGCACTGAGTCTCTTAAGGAATCTACTCTAGAAGCAATTGGTTATATTTGCCAAGACATTGTAAGTATGAGATGGCTATTCTTTTCGTAATCAACCATTGGGATTATAGTAAATAAAATGTTGAATAATGAGTATTTTAGTGCTTTTGCTTTACAATTTAGCTTGTAAAGCAAGAGCACTAAGAGAGCATTACTTATAGTGTTCTTTACAATCTAGCTTGAGGCTTTTTAATGGTACTGATTTATTTGACTTATTCTCTTATGTCATATTCTATGTATTTGATATTAAATACATATTTTTAATTCTAAGTAATAAGAATATGTACACATTCTTTTTGTCAGTTTTTTATATTATTTTTATTTTTTAAATAATTTATTCAAGATTAAGTTCATGATTACATATTATTTTTACATATAAATATAGAAATGCCAAACCAATGAATGAACATATTATGAAGGACTTTCTTTTTTTTATTAGGAACCACACCATTTGGCTGGTAATTCTAACGAAATATTGACAGCAATCATGCAAGGAATGAGAAAGGAAGAACTTAGGTAAAACGATCTGTCCACTTGCATCAAGTCTTGTGTAACTCTAGCTAAAATATAGACTAAAAAACATAATTATAGGTTTCTGCAACATGTCAAAAAATGACTGGAAATTGTGAAAAATGAGAAAATAAAAGGCCGCAAAATATTGCAAAATCGCGAAAATAATGGGCTTTATAGTACCTGTGATTTGCTCACATGGATGTGATGTGACATCATTATGCTTTTATGAGGAGAGAACACAGATGTTTGATACTTGACACAAAGCAGTAAGAATATTCCTAACTGGGCCTTTAATATTTCAGTGCATCATGAATCAGCGATGCTCTACAGACCTGTACTTTCACATTTGTATTTCTCGCTTTAGCTACTATGTATACATAAAAATACATGCACCTAATGGATGCCTGTCATTTTTATTAGAGCTCTCATAAGTTCTACCACATGAAATGAAATACAACCTAGTACATGAACCTTCCGTTAACTGCAAGTCAAGATTTTATGGTCACCGAACAGGGTTGTAGCTGTAGAAAACTAAGGGTTGGTGGTAGATATGTTAAGGGTGGGTGATAACATTAGTAAATTCTAAATAGGAAGAATTGATTTTAAGGATGGGCAAGTGGGTTAATAAGGGCTGATGGAGAGCCATGAAATTAGCTTTAGGCTTTAGACTGGGTGGGAAACTTCAAGGCTGGGTGGTTTCACTACATAACTACATCCTTGCCAAGGACACCTGTGATTTAATACATAATTTTTTTAAATTGTATGACAAGCAGATACGTTGTGGCGCCCTCATGTACACTCTCCAGACTCCATGACAAGTTGTACACAAGACTACAGTACAGTTGGCATGATGGATATTATAATGTTTTAATAATTACAATTGTTATCACTTTCAGTATTCCTGTGAAATTAGCTGCGACTACGGCCTTGCTGAACTCGCTTGAATTCACAAAAGCCAACTTTGACACAACCGTAAGTTCTTGGTCAGAGTATGTTTGTAAGTAGTAAGGTTCATAAAGTTTGTAAAATGACATGTTCTTGTTATTAACGTCATGAACATTTTTAATCACCAGCATGATTAGATGGTATTGTAATTTGTTCATTATTGTCTTTAATTTATTAGTATACATGACACAGAACTGAAATAAAAATGTTTTGAGTGTAGATATGCAAATGATATGATATAGGCTTGCCATCCCAAAACCAGTATCAGTGACCAGCAAGTGTAAATCCACTTTTTGATAAATTATTCTCCGCATTTTAAGCTTTAAAATGATGGGACTTTTACTGGAATCAACTGACTATTGCCAAAGTTAAAAGTAAAGGTATTATGGCTTTTCTGTACTAAAGTATACAATACTGGCCACATTCTTATTCTAATTACTCTGTTTAACAATTAGTGACAGTATGCATTTTTTTGGATGACAAGTCTCATATATGCTAATAACTGACTTACTGTACATATCATTATGTTTGTCTTTTGTATTTATATAGAATGAAAGGCACTACATAATGGCACAGGTGTGTGAAGCAACCCAGTGTTTAGATACACGTGTCAAGGTGGCAGCCTTGCAGTGTCTTGTTAAGATCCTATCACTTTATTATAAATACATGGAGGACTACATGAAAGCAGCACTCTTTGCTGTAAGTTTCACTCTTTGCTTATAAGTTGCACTCCTTAAGTTTTTTTCATTTTGTGCAGTAATTTGCACAGTATACAGTGTAAATTGTATTCATCTGTGTAAGTTGCACAAGTTGTGTATTCAAGATACTCTTTCTATCTAGTAAATTTTTCTATCTAGTAAATAGCAAATTTCATAAAAGTCAGTGAATATGTTAATCAACTGCACCCTTGTACATTTTGTTGAGCAGCGACTACCATTGTTCACCCTTAAAATATAAGCATATTATAAGCAGTTGTGTCTCGGTTAAGGCTAATTAATATTTAATTTTTGTCTTTTCAGATTACTATTGAGGCAATGAAAAGTGATGTTGATGATATAGCACTACAAGGTATAGAATTTTGGTCAAATGTCTGCGATGAAGAAATGGATTTAGCTATTGAAGCAACAGAGGTGTGTACAATACTTATTATCAAGTAACTTGAGAAATAAAATTCAATATTTCAGTAGCTTACTTAAAATACTTAAGTAAGTTAAAATAATATGCAAGTTATTCTTTTCGTGGATCCAGTAGTTGGATGGCGAGACAAAAGGATATTTAATAAATGGGCTTTCGTAGTAAAAACATCTTGTTAGCTGATCTGTTTCTCTTTTGATGTTGATAACTTACTTGATTCTTTTAAACAAAGAAATTAACGTTTAATTAGACTTGTTTTAAAGTTACACTATTTCCGATGGCAATTCTTAAGGAACTTGATATATTTTGTTCATTTAATTAGGCAATGGAACAGTCAAGGAGACCAGAAAACTACAGTAGATTTTATGCCAAGGGTGCCCTGGAATTCTTGGTCCCTATTCTTATGAAGATGCTCACAAAGCAGGTAGGTTGTTTTGTTTTGTTTTTTTTATTATTATTATTAATACTTATTTGTACAATAATATAATATGGCAGTTAATAGCACTGTATTTTAATATCCAGTTTAACAAGTATGATGGCAGTATTAACAAGTATGATGGTAGAGAAACCAAAATTGTTGTATCATGAAAAGCAATTTCCCATTTCTACATTTGCTTAATGTAATCCATATAGTGAATAGTCGATTGGGTTGGGTGTTGGGTGTTTTGAAATGATATTTAGTCTTCGTCTGTAAGAAAAATGTGTGTTGATTCAGTCTTTTTCGTAGTGTTAATATTGCACCCAAATAAGCCGGCCAGTACACATGTATGAGTTGTGTTTTGGTGGTCTAGTGGTGCATACAGAAACAGTGGGTATTCTTCATAGCTGACCCTATAATCCAAGGGAATGTTGAAGAAGACCAACTTACAATAATTAACATCTCGACGAGATTTGATTGACAGATAAACCGACTAATCAGCGAGCGTCATTTAGTCACGTGATCAAAAACTTTTTCTCGGACATTTTAATTTCCTTAGACAGCTGGTTGTCAACGCGAAACATAAGTGAGCCTAGGCCTAGATGTCTATGCTTGATAGATACCCAGATTTACACGAGCAGTGCGCATCAGTGACTTGGCATTTGCCGACAACAAAGTTGACTGAATACGGCTTTTCCCTCTTCCTTTGGTAGCGAAATAGTCTTTTACAACAATTTCCCTGCCTGTTCCATGAAATAGATTAACACTATGAATATATGATTGATTTGCATACCGCCTACCCTGAATTCTCTTTCTTAAAAGGTTGATAGCAAAGAAAATGTTCGCCAACTTGGTTAGTCTACCCACCATAGTCTAAGGTTTTCGTGACTTTGTAGATGGGGCTTCGCGTCCTTGTCGACATGTCAATTCTCTGTATTGAATGAGATCAAAGAAGAAACTGCCATGCTCTGCCGCCCTTTGTGTATTTAGATACCACTTTGATTTGTGCACATTTCTTTTTAAAGGATGAGAATGATGATGAAGATGATTGGAATCCTTGTAAGTCAGCTGGTGTTTGTATGATGCTACTCGCTAACTGTTGTGAAAATGATGTTGTACAACATGTTATGCCTTTTGTTGAGAGCAACATTAAAAATCCTGATTGGCGGTACAGGGATGCTTCAGTCATGGCATTTGGTAGGTTGATTTTTTTTGTACAAATGATTTCCAAATTATTTTATGTATTAAAAATTGCTGTTGATTCAGCCATTTTCTAATATCAGTACACATTTTGTCTCTGTCCACTCGGAAATGTAAGTAGTTACCTTGTAGGCTCACATGCCAGTGTGCATGTTACTCCCGCAACATTTGAATTATTACTCCGGAAACTTTTAATTTTAAAGGCATATGTTCCAACTACAGCATCCAATTTTTTTACATAAATGCTGCACTGTATTTAAATGTGTATTAAGTGAATAAAAGGCTTGTATAAGTCCAAACATTATTTTATTGCTGTTAACATGTTGATTCAGTGGCCTATGTATGAGGAGGGGGACACTCAAGCCCTTAGGGACCCTGTCCTCTAGAAATATGCTTAGCTGAAAATATTAGGTTCAAGTAAATAAAAGTCACTAGTTTCACCTATTTTGCCAGCTAAATCCCCCTTAATTAATCATTGACGGCCACTTAACATTCGGTTTCCCCCCACCCCTTCATGTCAATATTTCAAGATATGCCAATTTGTTGGTTGCCTTTTTTATATTCAATCTTGGTCTCTGGCTGAAAGAAAATATCTAAAGAAATGTGTAGAGGTAAAATTGCACCCAAATAAGCCGGCCAATACACATGTATGAGTTGTGTCTTGGTGGTCTAGTGGTGCATACAGAAACAGTGGGTATTCTTCATAGCTGACCCTATAGCCCAAGGGAATGTTGAAGAAGACCCACTTACAATTATTCTCTTCTGTTTTATGGTTCTGTTCTATTTACTTTCTTAGAGGGAGGTCTTTATTTGAATTATATCTCCCCTCCCCCTTTCTGCAGCCTGTTCACATACTTATATGAAGTTAATAAACAATTACAATTTGTTATTGGTTGAATAATGTTATTCAAAGGCAGTCGCGTGAAATAATAAAAGAATCAATAAACAAGTAATGTATGAAGTTGTAGCCATAATGCCATAGCCATAATGGTAGACTAAGAATAATAGTTAGGAAACTGAGTACTATGTTTGAAAATTGTTATATTTAATGTGTGTATGTACTATAGTTCGTCTTTATTTTGATTTTTACAATTACTGTACTGTATATAAATATATTTTGCATTTCAGGGTCAATATTGGAAGGTCCTGATCCTAATCAACTGAAAGCAATTGTAATCCAAGCTATGCCGTTCCTGATTGAGTTGATGGGAGATCCAAGTGTGATTGTCAGAGACACAGTTGCTTGGACAATAGGAAGAGTTTGTGAACTCTTACCAGAAGCAGTAGTAAATCAAATTTATTTTGGTCAACTCCTAGAAGTCCTTTTGAAAGGACTAGAGGCAGAGCCCAGGGTGGCAGCCAACGTCTGTTGGGTGAGTCTTTTCGTTATCCTCATTATCCTCAGCATTGTATTCAGCACCATCATTAGTATCAACATCATCTTCATTATCATTTATATTGTATACAATTTCAGTCTACATATTCAGAATTTGTACATCTAGATGAATCTGAAACTTGGGAACTCCTTTGTTTTTTAGGCCTTCTCGAGTCTTGCTGAGGCAGCATATGAGCAGGCCAGCATGGCAGTAGAGGAGGACGAAGAACCAGAAACGTATCCGCTTTCTAGCAACTTCAGTCTTATTGTAGGCAAGCTTCTTCAAACTACAAATAGGTATGTTGAGAGTAAATAAAATGGCAAGACAGTGGAACATTTTGGTACAGTGCATTATAATGGAAACAGAAAAAAAAATTGGCTTGTTTATTGATTATTCACTACTCGCATCATCGTTACCCCCTTCAATTTCATCTTGATTTCCTTTCCTGTCTTGTCATTTTCCACATTTCCTTCTTCAGGATTTTCATTATATACTTTTTCCTTAATCTCATCTTTATGGCCTTAATCCTGATTCTCATGTCCGTCAATCTCATTCTTAATCTCTTTTATCAGTCTGGATATTAGCGTCATTTTCGTCCGCTTCATCCTCCTCAACTCATTATCATTTCTTTAATAATGGAAACAGAAAATAAATGGCTTGTTTATTGATTATTCACTAATCGCATCATCGTTATCCCCCTTCAATTTCATCTTGATTTCCTTCTGTCTTGTCATTTTCCACACTTCCTTCTTCAGGATTGTCATTATATACTTTTTCCTTAATCTCATCTTTATGGCCTTAATCCTGATTCTCATGTCCGTCAATCTCATTCTTAATCTCTTTTATCAGAGAGAGGGCTGGCAGGAGGGCATTTCCCCCTGGACCCCCCATCATCCGATGCCACAACTAGATCATCAGATCAAAAATTGAAATAATCATAATTTGCCTATCTAAATAACGTTATTTTGATTGGTAATCGCTAATATTGTGGTCTAAAAGCACATTTTTGGACCATAATAAGCCATAAAAATGCTCCCCGTGAACTGAACCAGGGATTTTTTATTCCGGGCCGTCGACCGAGAGTTTAGTTGGTTCGGGCTCCTCTGTTGGACATTTTGGATTCCTTGTTGGCAAATTTCTGGTGCCACTGCTGTGCAAATCACAGGTTTTTCAAACATAAGATTTGATAGTATGGACAACCTTTCAATTAAGTCATTGATCGAGTTCCTGGTCCACATATCATGCACCCTGAGCATCTTATTTTAGATGGATATGGTGCTATATAAAACTACACTATCATTATTTACTCTATGAAAATATGGTTCATGATAATAGGTGAAAAGAAAAATCTGAATTTGCCTAATATGTTATGTTATGACACTTATTTTTAGAGAGGATGCACATCAAGCTAACTTAAGAAATGCTGCATATGAAGCGCTAATGGAAATGGTAAAGAACAGTGCAAAGGTAAGAAATAAACAAAATAGATTTGTCTTGTGTTTTAAAGCTTTAATGTAAATAGTCAGGTAAAATTAACATGTGAAGAATTGTTTATAATATTCCCTTTTTTTCAGGATTGTTACAAGGCTGTACAGGATACCACAATTGTTATAATGGAAAGGATTCGGCAGATTCTTACTATGGAGGTAAGATAATGTGTAGCAGATCTATGTATTTGTGAAACTTAATTTTGCAATGAAAATAATTACTGTGTCTAAATTATAACGAGGACAGAGATTGTAATTAGAGTATGATGTTCACTTTCCAATCCTAGGCCACGAGTTCAATTCTGTTTTTCCTTTACAACATCCTAATGTAACTATACTAATATATTGAGGAATAAAACCATATAAACAAGCCATTGCAAAGTGTGGTATAATTAAATAAAATATTTTTTAATGAAATTGTTAATGAATTCTCTTTATTTTGAACAGTCTCACGTTCAGACAGCTACCGATAGAATGCAATACCACGACCTGCAGTCGTTACTCTGTGCTACATTGCAGGTAAGACATGTTTAGTTTCAGCTTCTAAATCAACAAGGATATTGCCTTTTGGCATGTGTCAACATTCAAATTGCTTAATAAACATATTATCTCATAATGTAAACAACCTTTAGTAATGCACTCCCTTGTTTAATTAGTCACTCTGTTTCGTCAGCCCTCTGCGTTGTCTTAACATGTTAAAAGTACACTATTATGCAAATAAAGACAAAGTAATAAATGTGATTAAATATCCTGATAGGTCAAAGGTAACAAAGTAATTATACTTGGTTAAGCACTGTCCAAACGTTCATATTGTATTTTACAAAAACATGTGACATGCCTAAATATGGTCATGATAACATCACATCATGACCATATATAGGCATTTCATGGCTATATATGGGTATACAACCATTTTTTTGTCAAAGAAAATTGGACGATCTGGACAGAGCTTTACACTTTGGTTTTTAAAGGATCAAATTATTTTATATACTCTACCACACCTTGGTTCAGCACATTCCCCACTATTATTAGACCTCAGTTCCAACATGTTTGAACCTCAGTCCCATCGTGTTGGACGTTGGTCACACTGTGGCTAATGTGAGTTATTGGTAGGCAGGAATGACACTTACAGATCAAATTTCCATAAGGATATTTTTTTATTGTCATCTTGAATACGATAAAGTAAAGTAATAAATGAAATTATCTGTATTTTAATATTTATATTTGGTAATACATTTGCATGGTTTTTTAATATTATATTGCCATGGTGGTTATTTTTTTAAGTAATTTTTAATTATATTATGTTTGTAAATTAATGTCCCAATTACATTAATTCTATTTTTTTTTAAATGCGATGACATTTCTTTTTGCTGTTTAATAAAGATACCAAGATATATTATAATTATGTATGCTATTAGGCATTACTAGGGCCGTTCAAATGCTATACGTTGCAATTTGTGGATTGACACATTTGAAATAAATGTCTTGTATCAATAGTTTTTATGGTTTATAATAATTGATCATTTATAATAAATTGTTTTATTATTGTTGTGTATAAATATTCTAAAAAAATTTGATGGAGTATATTCAATCATGTCTTGCTGAAGTAATAAATGATACCAATAATATTACTTGTTTTTTTTTTTAGAGTGTACTTAGAAAATTCCAACCAGACGATGCCAAGATGATCGCCGATCCTGTTATGAACTCCCTTATTCATATGCTAGAAAGTACGAGTGGTAAATCAGGGGGTGTTCAAGAGGATGCACTACTTGCTGTTGGCACTCTAATAGAAGGTAAAGTGCTTGGAATATACTTTTCCGCTAAGCACACCCCTTGGATATTGTTGTTGAGATCCCACAAAATAGTAGCGTAAACGTACATAAACATGTAGGTGTATGAATCAACGTGTGTGTTTGTAGGACAATCGCATATTCCTTGCTCTGTTCTGATTGGTCAATTTTATTGACACTTCGCTAGAGTCCATTCCGAATGATCACTCTGTAAAACAGGAGTGGCCAGGAGCATGGTGGTTAATATTCTTGTCTTGCAATCTCAGAAAATAGGCCTTACTTAAAACAACTCGCTCCTTTAACCCTGATAATAGGGCTTAGTTTATAGTTCTTTCCTGTATCTGGTAAGGTCTGTACTGATACCATCGTCCTTTGGACATTTGTTTCCAAGACAGAAATATACTTCGAACTGATAGATTAAATTACAAAATAATTTATATAAAGTGATTTAATATTTTAGCTAACATTGAAATGAATTTGGAAGATCCTGTATTTCAAAGTAAATTATAATTTATCAAACAAGTATTTACTTTTTTTTATTAAGTTAATGCATCAACATCCCTTTTCCTTGTCTTTTTAGTGTTAAATTCAACAAGTACATAGACCCATTTGTTAAAAATAATACCCTGATCACTCTGCAATTTTCTTTTAGTCTTGAATGTTGAATTCAACAAGTACATGGATACATTTGTTGTGCACCTGATGAGGAGTTTGGCAAATACAGCGGAGTATCAGGTGTGTCTTGCGGCAGTTGGCTTGGTTGGTGACATCTGCAGGGCCCTCAACGCTCAGATTCTGCCAATCTGTGATGAAATAATGAAACTACTACTAGATAATTTATCAGTGAGTAAAATTGTTGTATATTGTGTTGGAAGGATTAAAAGGTGCTTTTTAGTGTATGTAAATTGTTGTTATACCACTAAATCATTTTTAATATTAAATATTCAAGATCATGTTTCAAGATTATGCAACATTTTTTCTTTTAGAATTTTTGAGGATCATGACATGTAAATTGGACACCATTCAAATATTTTTTTCTGATAGAGATTATCCTATTAAAGGTGCTGCAGTATTGTTTTGCTTAAAGAATGAATTTTCCAATAAGCACAGCCATACACATGGTTAAAAAGCGGCTGAAGTGAAATATTTTTTTCTTGTAGGATAAGTCTGTTCATCGAAGCATCAAACCTCAGATTCTATCAGTATTTGGTGATATTGCTCTTGCTATCGGTAGTCAGTTCCAGAAATACCTCCAAATTGTCCTTAGTGCATTGCACCAGGCTTCTCAAGCTCAGGTTGATAAGGTAATTTAATTCCTTTGCAAACCCCAATTGTCCAGTTTCTAATTTATCAAATATAATATGAAGGAAAACAGCACCTTCATCATCAAAACCCTAATATCATGTCATTACATCTATGCTAACCCATACCTTTAGCACATCTTCCCACAAAATTTTAGGATAGGAGTATTTTTGGTGTGAATCACACCAAGGATAACCCACTAAGTCCAAATACTTATTTCCAGTGGGGTCCTTCTGGTGGTGAATTGGGCAGTACACCGGGAGAAAATTCCCTACTCTTTCATGAAGAATGTACTGCATTCTTTAACGTGCACGTGGGCCATATTGCACACAGGACCAACGGCTTGAACGTCTTATCCGAAAGACAGCGCACTATCGTAACTTGTATTTCAGCCCTCCAGCTGAAACACCAGGAGAGGCAGCGATGGGAATTGAACCAGGAACCTAGAGATCTCCATGGTTTAGTGCACACACAGTGGCTACCACCACCGACTGAGCTAAGCTGCTCTTGATGAAATATTAATTTATTCTTGATATACTATAGCACATTATGTTAAAGCCTCAGTGGAAGCGGTTTGGCGCAGCATGAAAGGTTTGGTTTCCCAAATTCGAGTTCGGGGTTTCAATCCCTCGCTGTGCATTTCGCTTGTGTCCTTGAGCAAGGCACTTTATCTGCATTGCTTCTCTCCACCCAGGAGTATAAATGGGTACCTGGTGGGGTTGCTTGCTCCTGCGCTGAATACAGCAGCAACACTTAGCATGTGAATCCAATGACCAGGGACAGAAGCGCTTCGTATCTGCAAAGAAAGGCGCTATATAAATAAATATGATTAGATTAGTGTACTTAACAATAAAATAAAAGCCAAGAATTTAAGAAAAATATTGTTTAAAAAGTTATCTGCAAGATGTCAATAGCTTAATAACGTTATAAATGCATGTACCATTACCAAACAGGGTCTTCCAAAGAAAAACTGAAGCCTAGGAAAAGCAAATTATGTATAAAATATGTGAAAATGCCATCATTTTCAAATTTAACACCAAAAACCTCAAGGTGTCCATCAATAATAGAATATTCTCACTCTTAAGCATATTATAGATATTATGAAATCTTATGTTAATCAGCTTTACACTTAATTTTTTTTTAAGACCGATTATGACATGGTGGAATACCTCAATGAGCTACGAGAGGGATGCTTGGAGGCTTATACTGGGATTGTTCAAGGACTTAAGGGAGAAGAAAATGATGAGCAAAGCAGTGAGTTATTGGTTCTGTATAACCTAGTTTTGAAAAGATAATTATCAATAATAATTATTGATATCTCGAGTTGTCCACGCAAGCTCCGTTAGTGTCAGATTTGGCGGATTTTGGCGCTATACAAATAACCACTAATATTAAGAATTTTGTTCTAGATATATTCTCGGTTATTTTTGGCCTAATTATATTGACTTGTACATCTTTTTAACAGAAGCAAGACTTGATAATGTGTGGCCGCATGTTGAGCATATGGTGAATTTTGTTGAATATATAGCCAAGGATGAGGATCATACCGACAGTAACACAGCATGCTGTGCAGGCCTCATTGGGTCAGTACCTTTTATTTATTAAAACACTTTTCACTAGAAAAATACATCGGTAATGGATACGAGCCAACATGTGACAAACACCTCTACAATGGCTCGCTCTATATAACTTTAATAATAAAATAGAAATACATAAATATAAAAGGAATAAACACCAATAGATCGTTATATTAAGATTTAAGAATGTGTTTTCATCATTGTCAATATTTAAGTCAACAGAACAAATTTATGTGGCCACTGCTTGGGATTTATCCCAAGATCTGGGGATTTTTTTGACACCTTGGGGTCTTGGGATTTTTGGTTAAATTTTCATTAAATCTTGTGATTTTTTGAATAATATGACATTTTTTCTATCAAGAAGGGAACAAATAGGCAGTTGACAGTTGTAAATGAGGGCGCTGTTTATTTTTTTAAAATAAAGCATTGGAAGTTTGAAGGCTGTTGTTTAAAGCAATTTTCAACATTTTCCAAAAATAATAAGGTGAATTTTAAAGTTAAATCTCTTGAATATTGTGTACAGGCACGGATCCAGACTCGCACCATTCGCCATTGATTGTAGCACCGGGTGTTTAGTAGTAGGATAAATATGGCAGAAGTAAAGTCTATGAAAGTTGGACTGAAAAAAAATTACAGTAAAACATATTCATATTAAATGAAAGCATATATTGGCATTTAATAAATATTATGACATGACCTATAGGCACGATACCATTTGTTCATGGACGAAGATAGAAAAATACCTTCCCAAATGCAAGTCGTCTGAACAACCTCAATTGTTTTGGAATTTTTTTAAACATATTTGCAAAGACTTAGCTTACTTTTCTCATTAGGCCAGTACTCTACCACCCATGATCTGAGGGTACAATGCACTATAAAATGCTACTGCAATTCTTTGTGCTGTAGTGGTCCGTTGAAAAGAGATGTATACCACTTTGCAAAAACTTCAAAAATTCTGCTGCTAGACTCATTTTTTCGCACTCATACCTTTCAGAGCCTTCTGTTGTTTGCCCATAGAACAAATTTGGGAGTGTTATACAGTACGATTTGAAAACATAGTCATCTTAATGAAACAGCTATAATATTGAAAACAAACAACTTTGGTATACAAATTCAAATAAATATTTACAATAGATTTTAATGGTCAACTTGTTATCAAATTTTACGACCAATTTTTAGTGACAGTGTGTAATAGACATGCAAAACAAACATTAGCAGTTAGCTGTATAATATCTTTGAATATCATTTTAGACTGATTCATTCACATGCTTGGTCATCTTGTATTCATTTAGAATTCAACAGTTTGTAATAATAGGGTCTGTATCTCTACACTTCTAGACGTAGTACCAAATTATAGCCATAGACCCGGTTTCGCACACACTCGCTTAATTAAGTAAATTTCAAAGGAAACTGTTTTCCCCATTTTTCTTATTGTTAAATACTCCCATGCAATATTGTAGGCCCCCGGTATAAAATTGACAGATCAATTAGAAACTCTGTATAGATCGATTATGCCCTTTTGTATAATATTGTAGGCCTATAGACCTAATGTGTGTGAAGTACTGACTTTTTTTAATATCGAATGGGTGAATTTGCGCAGAAACTTCAAACTCTTGGCCTAACATAAAGTACAATGCCAAAGGAAAGCATATCACGTTTTAGTCACCAAAAAGGATTCTCCATGGACGCACAGAGTAGGCCTTCTAATAGTATGCCCCTCGAAATATTACTTTTATATACTATATATATATATACTAATATTTTGCGAATCTTGGGTTTTTAAAAGCATTCTTGGGATTTTTTAGACTCAAATCTTGGGAATTTTGATTTTCCCGAGTGGTCACACTGGAACAAGTAAACAAGAGAAAAAAAAAGAAAGTGACTACAGACCTTCCTAGCTTAGTTGGCTTGCTGTTTAGTACTCTATGGCTTGCATACCATTAGTGGATAAATTATCATCCTAGATACACCCACAAGCTAATGCAAATAAAAAAACATCTCCAAAAATTAAAATTTGAAACAGAAAGACCCAGGAACTACATCTGATATTAAAGTCAAAATTGTTAAGAGTTAACTAGAAGTAATATTAGAATTTATTGCGCTTTGTTTATATTAATTTAAATATGCTTCATCTTCATATGTAATTATTTTTACCTAAATCATGTAATTTAATTGCAGTGATTTGTGCAGTGCCTTTGGGCCCAACATGCTCCAGTATTTAGAGACCAAGCAAGACATACATGAATTACTCCAAGAAGGCCGCCGTTCAAAAACAAGCAAAACAAAGATGCTAGCTACATGGGCTACCAAGGAACTAAGAAAACTAAAACAAATGTAAGCATTTCCAATACAGTATTTTCCCAGATTGTGATTAATATGCCTTCCATGTCAAGAAGTAGACATGACTAGCATGTCTTGTTAATTTTTATCTGTTACCCACTTGATATTAATTTGACTCTTTATTTTCTGTCTCATTACTTTTTTTAGCTATTTATTTATAAATTATTTATATATCATGTTTGATTGTTTATGAGGCTATTAATAATAATTCTATACAGTAGATCCCCTCATTTACGAACCCCGATTTTTACGAATTCCCGATTGTCATTGTTGTCATAAATTTCCTATTTCATGTACTAAACACACAAGCGTGTCAGGAATTAATCGTTAGGCGCGTTTGGCTCCAATCCAACAAAATTTCAGTCCAGGCCTAGCCTACCCCAGCCTAGCATAGTGTAAATACATAGGAATTTCACACAACCCCAATTTTACGTACGAATGATTTTTTACGAACGCCTCTGGGCCCGTAAATGAGGGGTTCTACTGTACTTAAATGTACGCTAATAACCAAGTTACAAAGGACACATGCAAAATGTTACACAGGAGTCCCAAGATATTCCTACCAAAATCTTGCATTAATTATTTTTTAATTTTCTAAAAGTATACTATATAATCAAAGCAAAGGTGATACACAGACATTTTTATTTTTCTAATGTTTAAGCAACTTGTTATAAATTCATTAATTTGTTTTTGGTTAATACTTAAAATTAAATTTTATTTTTTTTTTGCCTTGCTGTTTTGTTTTTTTTGCCTTTGTTTTTTTGTTTTCTTTGGTTTATCTGATTCTGGGCACTTTGTATATTATAGAAGAGGTGTGATACCAAATGCGTGAGCATTACATACACCTGTACTTAATAACCTTACTTCATTTTATCTCCTCCTCAGATAAATTTGAGCTGAAGAAGACCTACAGATGGCAGTAGTACATAGCTACTCCCACACAGCTCCGACAAGTGTGTGAGCTCAGTGGTGAGAATGAGTGAGCGTGACAGTACTGACAGCTCCGTGTTCACAGTGGTCCAAATGCTGGCTAACAATCACCAGGACCTATTCCTCAGGTTAACATGGGCATTTCTGGTGCCTCGAATCAAAATTTCAGAGATTGTATGCCTGCTCTATAAGATAGGTAGATGGCCTTCCCAGAATTCATGTGTAATCTTCCCATGAAGCTTTGCAGTGGTGATATATGGTTATTTTAATCAAATATTCTGCCACATAATAAGCATATACTATTCCAGGGAAAAATCTGTCAAATCTGTGTATTACAGTTCCTACTTTTGTACAAATGCTATCTAATTATTCAACATAGTGCAGGTTATATAGTCAAAATAGTACACAATTTTTTTATTGACCTTAAATGTCAGTAGGAGTATTTCAAGCAGTGGTTTTATATACAAATATGCTGATTACAGAGATATTTGGAAACGATATACAAATTTGTAGTGAACATAAATTCTATGAAATTGTGTTAATGAGAAGGAGTTTCCCCCTGTCATTTGATTGTTTGATTGATCGATTGATTGACTGATGAGTACTTCCTGTTGAATTGTCCTGGTTGTTAAAAGGATTCCATTGGAAGTTGGACACGGACTATCAAGAAAGTTGTCGGTGAACGCGATTTTGATGAAACTGTGAGAGTTGATGATAATGGTGATGTTCGGTGAAAAGTCGCTACAAAAATGTAAACTCAAACAAGCAGACACTATCGTATATATATATGTGTAAAGCCAGCTGTTTTCTACCTTAAATCTGCGTATCATTATAATGTCTATCAGCCTAAATCATTTCAAAACAGAGTAATGTTGGTAATTATAGTGTGTCGTCTTTGCAAATCAAAAACAATTTGTTTGCAAATCAAAACAATTTATTGTTGGTTGTTCAGTTACACAGTGATTTTTTGTTATTATTTTTTTTTTTATCCAACTTCATTCATTGTCAATATGAAGTGTAAGCTTACCCCAGGATGTGTAAGAATATTTATTATCTTCTTGGTACAAGTCTACATTTTATTTGAGTCAAGCAATCATTAGGCATAAATTCCAAATTATATTGTGGCTGTGATTATTCAGTGTTGACTCAAATTCACACAAGAGCCAGCAATAACAATCCATTTTTACAGACACTAATTGCCTGTTTTGTATTTTTGTATTCAAGCAAAGATTTTGAAAAAATTTAGGAGGATTATACAAGTGTTAGTTCATTAACATAAATGATTGGATGATTATTTTTAGTAGCATACCAGCTCAAAAACAGTCTACCAGAGATCTATATAATATTATAATATTATATAATTATATTAATATTATATTAACATTATATTAACTATAATGATATATAAATGAGCAACTGTTAGGTCTTAATGCTGCTGTGTTGGGTATATCTCTTCATTGATTGATTTTTCTCACACAAATACCATTTTAATGGATTCCATTTTGTTACTGGTAGAGTTATATTCCTATGTAAGATATTTGAATACAGGGAGTAATTGAATAATTAATGAGATCAAATACAAATGCATTATTTACATAATCCATAATATTCTATTATTTTTACAGTGAGAACTGAAAGTTAATTGGTGTAATTTTTGCCCATTTTGTGTACTTATTGATATAGCCCATAATGTTTATTGATTCAGGTTATTTAATTATTGTAATTGTCATAACTGACTTGTCAGTTTTGTACGTGTGTAAATTTATTTATGGGTTATTGCAACAAACGTTTACATGATTTAAATTAAGTGTACCCACTGTCTGAATACATGGCCGTCTTTATAAAGGAAACAATTGAAATTGTGGAGCAAGTTACTGTCTTTTGTGTAACTTACATTTTTTGTTACATACATAAAAGGTTTTATAAGTTTTTGGTTTACCTGTGTACAAAAACTGATCAATGTTACTAATTCCAAAAAATAATCATCACATATATTTTTTTTTTTTTCAAATAAAATGTTTGTGTGCCCAAATTTTTGACATTAGAAATGGCAATTTTGCAGAAGAATAAAGGTAATGCTGGATTTTGAATGCATTTTTCTCTAATATTCTTTACACTAATAACCTCAATGATATAAATAAAGCAATTGTGAGGGCCATCACAAATTTTCATGACGATAAATTTAAATTGTTTTGTTTTTACAGTAATTTGTTTTCATACTTGTAAACCACCTACCAAAAACAAAAAAAAGGATCATGTAAATTGTATAAGATATATAAATGTGTGAATGTTGGTGTGTACTCTAGAGCACTTTAAGTTGCAAAATACCTGAAGAAATTATAATAAATTCTGATTTTAGTCCTGTTTTCAGATGAATCTCGTTTCTTTGTTATGTTCCAAAAAATTGGATGTTAATCAGTTTATGTTTTGAATATTATTTTTCGACATTGAAACACTGTTTAATGAAATAAAGGCATGTGGTCTGCTGCTGCCATTCACTTATCCATTGTTGTTTTATTTGTATGTTTCACATGTTAATTTTGTCATCAGTATTCTTAATGTGTACGAGTAAGTAATTGAATCAGCTGGGTGAGGTCCCGGCCACTGCGTGAGGGTTCTTTTGGGCAGGGGCAGCGCCAAGAATTCCCCGACAAGGAGTCCACGCCACCTGTCAGGAAGCTTATTCCCCCACCCCACCCCAAGTGAAGTTTGTATTATTAAAAGGTAATAAAATATTGTGTTGATTATGAGTTTTTTTTATGTCAGGGGTACTATTCCCCCTATCGGGGGTAATAACCCCATTTTGGGAAGAGCGGATGGACCACTGCAACGCATACGATCGCAATAGTTTTGAACACCTCGCACATACGGTAGCACTGCTCATCCTAAACAATTTAATCCCTAAAATTTTGAAAGCTAAAAAGGCATGCTTTAATTGTAATTTTGGCTCTCGACATTTGATTTTTTCCCAACGAACTTGCTGGAAATTCTCTTACAAGGGGTCCAGAGGTCCCGGACAGGGGGTTTCCACTGAACCTGGACCCCCTGCTAGCACCACCCCTGCTTTGGGGCCCTACTACATTGTATATAAAAGCCCCGTATTTGATGGGGTTTTTAATGTGTTCCTAAAAAAATGCACCGCTCGGCCAATTTATGGAGCACAAAAGCTGGCAAATGTCCTGGGGCCTCTGGCCTTAGCCAGTAAGACAGTAGTTGTTAGCCAATGAATTGAGTAGGGTTTGATATATGCATTTTCGAGGTATATACAGTACCATCGACTTAAAATTTTTTATATTATTAAGACCCGTATATAGTGCTGTATATTATTAAGACCCGTATATAGTGCTCAATATTATCTGCATACATAGATTCTTCTGGTTTTGCTAATTTCAAAAATAAATCTAGTTAGTGAATTGATTTAGCTGTATTTAAAGAATACTTATACAGCTGATAAGGATACTTGGTTATTATTCTATTTCGATTTATTTTAGTAATACCACAAGTTTACGAATTCCGGTGGGAGACAGGGGACACGTTTCTCCCCCTCCCCCACTTTTAAAATTGGGGGGGGGGGGAAAGAAACATATCAATTGTTTTTCTCCCCCCCCCCCAACTTTTCTGCAAATTTCTATAATTAAAACCCCACTTTTCAATGCGAGTGGAAAGAAGAATTTACGCATGCTGTCATGAATTTGTCTGTTCACTTGTGCTCTTTTCCAAGTGCGGTTCGTGTTCAGGACCTAAGCAGAGTAAAAACGCAGTTGTTTTTAATTTCTTAATCATCTCAGTAACCACTCCATCAATTTTATGGGTGCAACGGTTATCAGAGGCTAAATTTATTGTGAAAAGAATATATTATACATTGTTAAAATTTGAAGCGTGTAAACCTATTAGGCCAACATTTACCAACTCAAAAGTAGCTGAGGTCATCTAGTTTTTCCTAAACTGTCCCACACCCCTCTCTATTTCGGTTTCCTGGATCCGCCACCGTTAATGATAAATTAAGTAAATCCCCTTTATGTTTGTGAAATAAAAATTCTAACTATTATTTTGTGTGATTCATATCTCCCTAGTCATATTTGATCACAAATTAGACGGTATATTTTCACGCACAATAGTGTAGTCGCAGTATTACTTGCACAAAAGTGAAATTCAAAGAGAAGAAAGGGTAAACCTCTTGAAAGTTCTGTACATGCATAGAGACTAAATTATTTATTGTTTTAAGTTTATCTTATTTTTTTTTCATGGTTCGTCACAAGCTAATCAGTAGATAATATTTTTTTTTTCATTATGAATGTTAGTTTACAAGAAATATATAAGCGGGCATGATTATGATTACCAGGATAATTTGAAAAACTTTATGATGAGTATTTCAGTGGCAGATTCAAGGGGCCCACCCTCCCTATTTTTTTCCCCAAAATATGAAAGTGGAGAAAAAAATATAATTATATTCAAATTTAGCCTGAGAGTGCCATTTTCAGCCAACTAGAGGTGCCATAAATATTCTTACCTCAGCCCCAACCATGGTGTCGATGACGTGGTCCATACTCTCCATCTGTAAAAGTCCCTTCCTGGGCCCCCTCTACTTCAAATTCCTGGATCCGCCACTGCATTTTGAAAATGTAGTTTTGAAATAAAAATGTTAATTGCATTCTTTAAAATCAGTTAGATACGACTTATAAAAGGATACAGGCGCCTACTGAAGCACTAGGCGGCCCCCTTGCCCCATACCAATGTATTTTTTTTTTTTTTTCATTTTGATAAACTCTTTTTTTTTCTCGTCGGGAACATTCGAGACCACATTTCCAAAGAACCAAATAATAGTCTTCAACCTTTTAAACACAAAGCAGCCCTCTAACTGGAGACCAATCCCGAGACTAGTACCCCAAATTTTCAGGGAATAGTGGTCTCGAATTGGAGGGCGAACAAATTTGTTATGGTGTACGAAATAAAGATGCAATTTCAACTCGTGCAATATTGTCAAATTTGCAGATAACATGTGCCTATGTGATTTAATTTAAAAGGATAATGAAACTGCTTACAGAAATGAGGTGGTCAAGCTGGTACTGTAGATTGGTGTGTAAAGCCAGACACTCACTGCGTCGTACGTCGCACGACAAATCCACATTTGCTTCCGGCGAGCGATAGACGACGCAACGCCGATTGTCAATTCAACTAGTGGCAATCTGAACGAATCCTCATTAAAAAGACGATCCGTTGGGTCCGCGTCTTCGCGTGCGTTCTCCGTCGCGTCGCCGTCGCACGCAGTGAGTAACCGGCTTTGAGGGAGTTTTCGCTGCACGACGTTAGGGTGTTTTCGCTGCACGACCTTAACGTTAACGGATGACGTCATAATGTATTCACCTTGCGTTGCGGAGTACGTATATTTCAGGATTTTACGTGCTCGACGTACATTAGTTACGGGTTTGCGCATGCGTATTTCGATTTGTTTACAAAAGGGGCGGAGTTATCGCGTTGCATGTTGGGTACTAACGTTAAAGTTAAGGTTAACTCGTGCGGCCAAAACTTCTTATTATCTTAATGTTAATGTTAATAGAGAGATACTATTTGATTTCAGGAAAAATACAACTGTAGATCCGATAAATATTAAGGGTTATGTAATTGAAAGAACTGAGGTGTTTGGGTAGACGAAAACTAAGCTTAAACACAAGTAAATTATATGCAAAATCACCAGCGACTTCATTTTTTGAGGAAGTTCAGGAAATGTAATATAGAAAGGGTGCTTTGTTCTTGTTTTAACAAAGTGCAATACAGCCTGTTATTACTTGTTGCTTTATAGTTTGGTTGTATGGGTTGAAGCAAAACTTAAATAAATTTAAAAGAATCATAAATACTGCAAGCAAAGTAATAGGAATTGATGTAGATAACATTTATGATATATGTGAAAAGATCATGCTCACTAAACTTAATGTAATTTCAGAATAAACAGTTTCAACGTTGTAATTTAAAAATTATTGATTATGCTTTGACATAGTATGCCTACATTTTTTTGGTATATTCTGTGGTAAATTATTGATTAACAATTACCTCGATAACGAGCCCTGATACAAAATACAACTACACTGAGTTGCAATTGTGTGTGTGACTTAGATAGGGCCTATAGACTTTAGCTTACGTACGGGCCGGACAAGGTTGTTCAGAAATCTTCTTGGCCATGTGTATTTCGGCCTGCTAACACTCATGCTTATAGATAATTACAAGTCAGATTTTTCAGTCAATATGTAGGCCTATTACATTTCATATCCTTTTTTAGGCCTACTTGTGGAGCTAGGATTTCCACACTGGGATTTCCCCTACTTGTTTCTAGGCAAATACCATTGTATAGCATCCCGTATCGCTTTAGCAAATAATGTTTTGTGGTATAGCAAAGGGGACAACGAGGTAGTATATGGATATTAACAAACTCAAAATTTTAGACAGTGTCTTTAATTGTTTACTAATTGCATATTCATGTTTTTCTTAATGAACAATTTACTGCGGAATCCTACCAATAATTTGGATCATTCTTATTGGTAAGCAAGAGCAAGGAGCTCCCTGTAAGTTGGTCAATAGTACACAGCCACACCAAACGTTGACCCCTACAAACTGACGCATTAGGACTTTTTTAAAGCACGTTAGTTGTTAACACGGCGTTGGGAACATTTCCAATTGAATAGTTTTAAGGATGTCCACGCAACACCTCTCAAGAATGATGTTGGCAATTATTATTACATTTATTTTATTAGAAGGCCTGTTGAATGTTAGTGGTACAACTACGGCAGAAGGTAATTTCTTCCTCAAAATACAATAATAACAATGCTCAAATAGGAACATGTGATTTGATTGTATGAACAATGTTTGGCGGCATTTGAACGTCCAACTTCTCTCTTATCAATGCGAGTATCATACCGTTAGACCATAGACCTAATAGGCGCAATTCTGAATCACAGACAGTTTCTCTCATACTACTGACACTTGCGTAAGAACGACAGTAAAACATATTAAATGAAAGCATAATTGGCATCTAATAAATATTATGACATGACCTATGCGATACCATTTGTTCATGGACGAAGATTGAAAAATACCTTCCCAGCTGCAAGTTGTCTTAACAACCTCGATTGTTTTGGAATTAAAAAAAAACATATTTGCAAAAACTGAGCCTAATTCTCTCATTAGGCCAGTACTCTACCACCCATGGTCTGAGGGTACAATGCACTATCAAACGCTACTGCAATTCTTTGTGCTGTAGTGGTCCGTTGAAAAGAGATTTATACACTTTGCAAAAACTTCAAAATTCTGCTGATAGACTCATTTTTCGCACCCATACCTTTTTCCTTATTTGCGAACTTCATTGGTTGCATAATTACTCCAAATATCGAAATGCACGCCATCGTGTCGGGATTCAATATTTCGACATTAATCATGCCATCATCAGGAGATGATTACATTTAATGTGGAAATATTGAATCCCGACACGATGGGATTAAAGTGATTATGTAAGAATTAGATGAGCCACTGTCAATAAATAAAACAATTCGCGGAAGAGGAGTATTCAAAATATCGGTACTATTAATATGGGACTAATCAGATGACTGACGCCGTTCTCCATTGACAATTGATTTTATGTCCATTATTTATCTACAGGTCTTGTCTATATACACTAAAGAATCTTTACACTCACAATTTAAAAAAAAAAGTTTTTAACAACGACATCTAAATAGCTGTGGGAAAAACAAATTGTCAGCCGGCAGCTTTCTGTTTGAATAGTGATCGTATCTGAACAATAATGTTGCAGTAACAACATGCCTGGTGAACTTAAAAAATCAGAGCCTTCTGTTGTTTGTCCATAGAACAAATTTGGGAGTTTTATACAGTACGATTTCAAAACATTGTCATCGTAATGAAACAGCTATAACATTGAAAACAAATTCAAATAAATATTTACAATAGATTTTAATGGTCAACTTATCAAATTTTACGACCAATTTTTATACATTTGTGAGTGACGATGTGTAATAGACATGCAAAACAACATTAGCGGTTAGCTGTATAATATCTTTGAATATCATTTTAGACTAATTCATTCACATGCTTGGTCCTCTTGTAATAATTTAGAATTCAACAGTTTTTAATAATAGGGTCCGTATCTCTACACTTCTAGACGTAGTATCAAATTATAGTTGCCATATATGACCTGATTTTGTACACACTCGCTTAAGTAAATTTCAAAGGAAACTGTTTTCCCCATTTTTCTTATTGTTAAATACTCCCATGCAATATTGTATGCCCCTGGTAAATTGACATATAAATTAGACACTCTGTAAAGATTGATTATGCCCTTTTATAAAATATTGGCCTATAGGCCTAATGTGTGTGAAGTACAGACTTTGTATCGAATGGGTGAAATTGCGCCCAAACTTTAAACTCTTGGCCTAACATACAATGCCAGGGGAAAGGATATCACGTTTTAGTCACCAAAAAGGATTTTCTACGGACGCACAGAGTAGGCCTACTAATAGTATGCCCCTCGAAATATTGCTCGCCCTCGCCACCCCCACCCCCACCAATTCACGGTCAATTAAAAAGCACCTAAAATCCCCTTATTTTGAAAGTTAGCGCCCCCTCAACTGATCATCGAACCCCCTGCTTCATCTTCGCGGCCTCCCCATCAGCACCCCGACTTCAAGATACGCCACTGGGCCCCACACACCCTAGAATCTTCCTCCGCCCCAAAGCGAACGAGTTTCTGGTCTCGAAAATCCAGACACTTCGAGGCCTATACGGTTAATGTACAGTATATAATTCATTGAAAAAGCTTTAAAATGAAGGACTTTTAAATGAAGTTTATGTACTGTACTAATATTTTGCGAATTTTTGGTTTTTAAAAGCAATCTTGGGATTTTTTAGACTCAATCATGGGAATTTTGATTTTCCCCATGTGATCACACTGGCAGTGGAGTATTCATATGTGGTAGGTCAGTGGAACCTACCACTTCAGTGAGTGCGGCTGATACAAACGCGTGAATGTTTAATAAATATAAATTAATAAAATATATCATAAACTGACTATGTTAATCATTAAAATAAGTGAATATGTGACGAATAAGGAATGTCTACAGACTACATCAATGACAACATTTTAGCATGCATTGTATAATCTATTTGTTACAATTCTATACCAGTAGGCAGAGTAGTAGATTATCCTGCTTTAACATTATAAACAAGATTATTATTGGCTCATGTTCTTATTTTTAAAAGTAGGCCTAATTTGAATTTCATTTGCAAAAGTTTTTCTAAAATTAAATTTGCAGTATTTAATATTATGCTTTAGAATATTCTATTTGCAATAGTTGCAGTATTTGGCCGACTGGGCTTCACAGAATGATTATTTTCTGGGCGGATCCATAGGATACGATGGTCAATGACGTCCGGTCCTCCCACTACCCTTAACATCTTAGAGCAGGAGCGGATTTTTTTTTGGGGGGGGGGGCGACCCGCTCCCCACCTCCACTTTTGGAAAGTAAAAATAGGAAAAAAAACAAAGAAAAGGGGGAAAAAACGCCTCAGAGGTTATATTTTGGCATCTAGAAAACAAAATTATCTCGATCAGCCCCACTTTTGCCGCTTTCCCTCCCCCCACTTTCGGACATCTTTGGATCCGCCCCTGTAGAGTGCTTTTTGGTTGGTAAAAATTGTAAATAGTCATCAGCTTTTTTCTTCTGTGAAAGTGGGGGAGGGTCATTCATGAGAATAATGTTGAGGCTTATACTATCTTCATTCAGCATTAATTATTCATTTTTTTAAAACCTAAATTTTCTCCCAATGTATATAGCAAAATGCTGATATAAACATCCCGGAGGCGTTTGGGGCTCGATCGGGGCCCTTGTACCTTGGGTGAAAAGCCCCGTCCTCTTAGGCGTATTTGACGTTTTAAAGAAGTATTTTGATATTTTAAAAAGGCCCCGTTCTACCAATTTATGGAGATGAGAAATATACCTGGGCCTTTTTAGTCCTGGGGCCCATTGAATAGAGTTTGCCATATATTTTCGAGAACATCACTTAAAAATTAAAATCGTCATTTAAGATCAATTATCAACATTTTCAATTAGAAAGATGAAAATAATTGTGTTATTTTTTTTAAAGCTGAACTTAATAGGGCTACCAATAATTATGTTAACAATAATAATACTAATAATAATAATAATAATAATAATAATAATAATAATAATGATGATGATGATGGCACTGTGTTTTAAACATGGGAAAGGAAAGTTAAACATATCAAGGAAAACAAACTTAAACAATTAAACTTTAAACTATTGCATAATTTAGTGCCCACTAAAAAGAGGCTTTGTACATGGAAGTTATATGAGTCAGACAAGTGTGAAACATGTAAAGTTGTTGAAGATGAAGAACATTTATTATTTAGTTGTACTGAAGCAAGCATGCTATATAAATATATAAATAGTGTAACCGTCAACAGATTTGGTATCGAAACTACTTTAAAAAAAATTGTTTTAGGTACGGGAAATATTGCTGTTGATTACCTGTTTTCGGTCGGTTTATACAGTGTTTATAAAGCTAACGTTTTAAAAAAAACTTTACAAGTGGAACCATAGGTCGCTCTTTACACTTTTTTAACACAGAAAAATATGAGAAAATGGTTTTAATTCTTTTTTTCCAAAAATCAAATTATTAAAATTGTACATGTAAAGGAATCTCTTTTATACCATAACTCTATTTTTATATGATGTAAAATATTGATGTTGATGAGCGATACATGCTGTAAATTGTACTACTGAATTGACGAATAAAAGTGGGATGAACCCACAAAAGAGAAAAAAAATGATGGCACTGTGTTCTAATACGCATCTCGAATAAAAACCACACTAGATGTAATATCGATGTTTTAAAAATCAAGGAATATTGCTAAAAACATGAGGCACACTGAAATATGAATCCGATTGCTTAGTAGGCTTAGACAATAGAAATTCTATGATTTGAAATGTATTAGACCTTGAATATACCAACCATGAACTGAATTTACATCATGTAAAATATCATATGAAAATAATAACTCTATTTCCTTATAGTTAATTATTTGCTAACTGTATATTCATGTTTACTCAATGATGGGTTCAATGAGGAACTGCTGATAATCTGATCAGTCTTATCGGTACGTAAGAGGTCCATAGTACACAGCCACACCAAACGTTTGACCACTACTGACGCATTACGCCTACATTACATCACGTTAGTTGTTAACACGACGTTGTCGGCATTATAGTAAAGCACATTTCATATACAATGTTTTTAAGGATGACCACGCAGCACCTCTTACGAATGATGTTGGCAATTGTTATTACTTTTATTTTATCAGAAGGCCTGTTAAATGTTGGTGCAACTACAACAGAAGGTAATTTCTTCGTCAAAATACATACATACATACATACATACACATAGGCCTACTACATACATGTCTTCATGTTAGGCCTAGACCTGTTTCATTATCACATATTCATTTCATTATGTGTTTCTATTCGGGTCCAACAACTGTCTCTTATACACATCTAGATGTGTATAAGAGACAGATATATATATATATATATATCCCGGTTGAGGCTGAGGTGTTTTTTTTTTCTTTTTTTGTCAGTTTCCTTTTCTGTTACGTTTTAATTTATATTATTCATTGCATTATTTCTCTTGCATGGCGAAGAAATAATATATTACTAATAATATATATTATTATTATTAGTAATAACATAGGCCTATATTAATGCTTGCGGTACAACACGTAGAAAGTTCTGAAAAGAACTGATGTTTTGTTGAGTTTGTCGTTTCGATTGAGTTGCTTCAATCGTCATCAGGAGAATAATATCTGCAGAGAGAGTTCAAACAGGGAAATACTTTTCAGTGCTTCTAATAGTCAACACGTTGATGATCAGATCCCAAGTATACTCCCTAGCCAAGTATGTAGCCCGGTCACTTTATCCACTGGTAGCTTGGCAATACGACCTCATGTCGTCAATTCCCAACATTTTGTGAAGATCATCAAAGATATATACCTCGAACCAACGGACACTCGTTAGCTTCGATATCAAATCATTATTCACGTAGGTGTCGATTAAGGAGGCCTGCCTCTTAGCCAAGCATCACATAGAGGTGGATCTAACTCTCCAAGCAAAAACCGATCTCAACCCAGAACAGATTCATGATTTGCTTTTACTGTGTTTACAATCCACCAGTTCTAAATGCCATGACCAATTCTTTGGGCAAAGAGAAGACACGGCCATGGGATCACATTTATCCCCAGTCATTGCCAATATCTTCCTCGATATAAAACAGCTAGATCTTCACTCTGCCACTCAACAATCAAATGTTTGGCTCCGAAACGTCGATGACACATTCATCATTTGGCAGCATTTTCTGGATCACCTGACTTTTCAGCATATAGCAATCACGTTTACTATGGAAGAAGAACACAACCAATCTTTTTGACTCTTTTTGCATTCAATTTATCGCAAACCTATTCACACCCGGCCGACAGATATTTAAACAAATTCCCGTTTTATCACCCGTTCAATAAAAAGGGAGTTTGTAACACATTTATCAGAAGAGCACACGACATCACTGACTGCAACTCTATCCAGAAAGAAGTGTAGCACTCACACAGAATGTGTGCAGCACTCACACAGAATGTGTGCAGCACTCACATGTGTGCAGCACTCACACAGAATGTGTTACTGGCTCTTGGTATTTGCTATTTCAGACTTATTCACATAATAACAAGGATAATAATAATAATAATAATAATAATAATAATAATAATAATAATAATAATAACAACAACAATAACAATAATCATAATACCTGTAATAATAATAATATAATAATAATATTATTATTAGTAATAATAATAATAATAATAATAATAATAATAATAATAATAATAATAATAATAATAATAATGTCGTGGTTCGACTTTAGAAAGATATTGAAAAGGGAGGTACAATCTTCCTTGAGTAGTTTAGACTCAGTTGGTAATCAATCACAAGACATCTGTGTATAGCATTCAACGTTTTATTTGCACATAAACCAAAGCGAACTATAAGAAAAACCCTGCAAAATATATATTCCAAACAAGAATTATATAATGCGTTATAATTATATAGTATATCAAGCATAACATTAGGCAAGTTATACAATTTAACAACAATTCTGATATAACCTGGCAACACACCAAAATCAGAAACAATTTGATGATTAAATAGCATAGCCTATTAAAATGGTGTAATAACAAGTATTTACCTCAAGCTAGAGTCTGTTTGATGCACCAGTCTGTAAACTACGACTATTAGACGCCCCAACAACACTTCTGAAACTGCAGACTATTGGACGCTCCAACAAACTGTAACTTATACCCCATTCAGACTAGCATCGCATTGCGATCGGTTGTAGCAATTGCGACACCCAATCGCAAAGTAAAATCGTGTGTGAAAGCTCACCAATAGTAGTCGATATGTAATCGATATCGCAATTGTTACCCGTTGCGATTGGGTGATACAATCTTTATTATTCCCGATTACCACGGAATCCGCTAGCAACGAATTCCACAGGCACGGTTTGGCTGAGGTCAGGAGGCCCTGGAATGTAAAGTCTGTTTGTGTTGGTCTGAATGCGTTCGTTGATTGCGATCGGGAGTAATCGGTTTTGGATTACCACCGATTACATCGCAACCGATCGCAACAGATTGTAGTCTGAATAGGGTATTAATCACTGGCCACCCAAACTTCCGTAACTTCAGACTATTACCGTCTGGCCACCAAACTAACGGTTCATTAATCACAAAACAAGAATATAACAATTATGAGTGAAAACAATCACTCTCCATTAGCGGAATGTAGAATAACATTAATATATATTAACAACTCATGTAAATGTACGGCACAATAATATTAACAATGCATTCAATACCGGCATTAGTCCAATGCGGACATGAATTAACTACATATGTGACCCAAGCTCACAAACAGGCTGTAAACTCGTCCTCAGGCCAAAATGAGCTTTTGTTATAATGGCATAGAACATGTCATTTACTTAAAAATGACAGTTAAATGAACTCAATCGGGTGTCTGGAAGCAAAGTTATGACAGTTTGAATAATTGTCATCTTATCAACTTTCTTAAATCAAGTTTTGAGAAAAATGCTTTTATTTTCGGCAGGTTTTTATTCATTTCTCATTAGCTCCCATCCGAAAATGGCTAAATTTTACAGTTGGAATTTTAAACTCAAACTTCATGAATAGTAAGATTAATAGTTATACTTTATTTATTACACAAAAACTCAATTCACACAAAATTCACGTTCTACGCCCTATTCTGGGTATTGAGGCTTGTTTCTCAATACATTGCAGTGCGAGTTTACTGCCTGTTTGTGAGCTTGGGTCAAGTTATTATAATATAACATACTTATAACTTATTGTATCAATGCACACATATCATTAAATTGAATTAACTACAGATTATAACATCATAGACTTCAGAATTGCATATTGCCAAAATAATGTGTGCAGGTCTTGCAACGGAACACACGAAAAATCGTTGCAAGAACCCACAAAAGCATAATTATATACCGCGGAACAGCTGTGTATTTGCATGAACATGCACGAGATGAATATGCAAATACAACAACAATAAAGCAAACAATAATAGCTGCAGCTCAATCACATTGCACGAACAAATCGCATCATCACAATAATAATAATAATAGTAATAATAATAATAATAATAATAATAATAATAATAATAATAATAATAATAATAATAATAATAATAATAATAATTGTTTTGAACAGGTTAAAGAAAACAGTGTACTGTACGTGCAATTTAAAGTAGCCTTTTTTCATTAATTTCATAGAATATACCGGTACAATGACAGTGGCTGTGACAGAAGAAACATCGACGGATTATACATACACCAGTACATACTTTGATACAAGTATGTCAGCATCATCTATAACAACAACAAAAACAAAACCAATACCAACAACGATGACTACTGAGCGTGAGTGATATATTTTGAACACCAATGTTCAGTAATACAATACAACCCTCAAAATATATATTATGAGAACACCCCTATTAAAAGGGGGCACTTTTTCGGCCACAAAACGAAGGAAAGTATAGGACATATATACGTGTATTATCAGTATAAATAAAGAACATCGACGGTTTCTTGTACTGTATATATACATAGGCATAATTTATTATTATAAATAATATGAATATTATTTCATTATTATTATGATTAATTTTTTTTGTTGCTCTTACTGCTACTGTGATTGTTATTATACCGTACTTATTATTATTAATTATTGTTATTTATTTTTCTTTTCATTTAAACATGGCTCTTTTAAGTAAGATTTTTTTTCATTTTTTAGTTAAAAATAGTAACAATGAGGTCGGAAGTGCTTGATATTTTTATTTATGTTTGTTTAGATTCTACTTATAAATATGTTTTTAGTCTTATAATTGCTCGTGTCTATTTTGTTTTCTTTCAACAAAAGCAATGTCGACACAATCCACTTCAACAACAACAATGGACAGTACTACTTCACCCTATACAACAACAACAGCAACAACACAGGCAGAACCTATGGGTAGTAAGTCATGTTTTTTATACTCAATTTTGATTTAATTGATTTAAAAAACAACGTTATTTGAACAGTATAAAGCAAACAATGTAAGGCCTATCTGTAATTTAAAGTAGACTAATTTAATGAATTTTAATCGTATTTGCAAATTCGAAAGGTACAACACAATCTATAACTACGACAGAATCATCTACAGCAATATCAACACCAATGGACAGGACGCCTACATCATCCTCAACAGCGATTGATTCAACAACAACAGCAGCAGCAACGACACATACAGTATCTATCAGTACCGGTAAGTTATATTTTGTTATACGGTACTCAGTTTTATTTCAATTCGGCTCAGAATATCAACAGGATAAAGCAAACAATGTAAGGCCTATCTGTAATTTAAAGTAGACTGATTTAATGAATTTTAATCATATTTGCATCGTATTTGCAAATTCGTCAACAGAAACAAAGTCGAATGGTACAACACAATCTATAACTACGACAGAATCATCTACAACAATATCAACACCAATGGACAGGACGCCTACATCATCCTCAACAGCGATTGATTCAACAACAGCAGCAGCAGCAACAACACATACAGTATCTATCAGTACCGGTAAGTTATATTTTGTTATACGGTACTCAGTTTTAATTCATTCGGCTCAGAAATATCAACAGGATAAAGCAAATAGTGTAGGGCATGTGTAATTTAAAGTAGACTTTTTTCATTTATTTCATCGTCTTCAACTAAAGCAAAATCGACTGGTACAACAGATTCTACAAGTACGACAGAATCCTCTATAGCATCAACAACACAACTAGGAAAAAATGATGACTACTGAGCGTGTGTGATATATTCTGAACAGCGTTGTTCAGTAATACAAACCCTCAGGACACCCCATTATTGGAACACCCCTATTAAAGTGACATTTTTTTTTCGGCCACAAACGAAGGAAAGTATATATCTTTAAAACTACGACCAACCCATATTCTTGGCACACCGAAGGGAGCACCTTTCTGGTCCCGAAGGTGTTACCTTAATAAGGGTTCTACTGTATTTGTGCAAATTAAAGAGTTTTCCTTTCATTTCAACAAGAATTTAAATGAAAACGTCATGAGAGGTACGTCAAGACGTGTATTGTATATATATAAAGATAACACAACAGCAAGAACGTCGACGGGGTTCTTGTATTATGCATATATTGTATCCTTTATTATTATTATTATTATTATTATTATTATTATTATTTAACACAACAGCAAGAACGTCGACGGGGTTCTTGTATTATGCATATATTGTATCCTTTATTATTATTATTATTATTATTATTATTATTATTATTATTATTATTATTATTATTATTATTATTATTATTATTATTAAGGATACAATATATGCATAATACAAGAACCCCGTCGACGTTCTTGCTGTTGTGTTATCTTTATATATACAATACACGTCTTGACGTACCTCTCATGACGTTTTCATTTAAATTCTTGTTGAAATGAAAGGAAAATTCTTTAATTTGCACAAATACAGTAGAACCCTTATAATAATAATAATAATAATTATTATTATTATTTAATATTATTATTATATTATTAATATTGGTATTATTTCATTGTTATCATGATCAATATTATTGTTTTTTGTTATTGTTGTTGTTACTGCTACTGTTATTGTTATCATATTTGTCATTATCATATTATTATTATTTATCGTTATTTAATTTTGGTGTTATTTAAACAAGGCTCTTTTAGATTAGAATTGTATTCGTTTTTTTAGTTTTAGCGGTAGAACCAGGGAACAGTTAAATTACACTGGTAGAACCATATGAATTTTGGGTTTAGTGTATGAAAAAGGATACTAAATTTATTTTGAATGATTGACTGCGTGCGACAGATAAAGCCAACGTTTTCAACGTCGGCCACGACATGTACAAAAAAGACAATTACATACTTTATATATGCATATGTGATTATTTATTGTTAGTACAGTAGAATTGTTGTGCTCCATATCTTCTACTTTAAATCTATCTATAAACAACCGATTTAAACATAGTCTCCTACATACACACACGCGTATACGACAATGGATAATACAGAGGATAGTACGAAAACGACAAATTCAATTTCAACGGATCGTAAGTGTATTTTTAATGACATTAAAAATGCTCGGTTTTATTTTAATTCGTCTCAGATGGAGCAAAGATTTTTCGACAGGATAAAGCAACCAATCATCATCATCATCACCATCATCATCATCATCATCATACACACATAACTGTTAACACCGGTCCAGTGCCGAAGCCAGGTATTGCCCAACGGGGCTCCAACGTCTGTGACAAGGGTCACCCCAGCCCCACAATGTTTGGGGCTGAGGATAGCAAATTTAAAGAATAGGCACTTTTAAATGCATGGAATTGGTACTGTAAAAATGCTGTTCAAAGCAGTGGTTCTCGAATGTTATGTCACACACCCACCTCAGCACCAACAATGGCGCCGCCACTGCATTGGTCTAACTGAGAAGACATTGAAATACAGATACATTGTATATAAACACATCTTTAGTCGTCGAATGAATCAAAATAGAGACTATCAACGTATACTAATTAACACCCCTTTTTGATAGAAAACTTTCAATACCGGTATCAAGTGATATAACTTAATGATTGAAAGAAAAATACTGCGGCACACTCGTATCTAACTGAAACAAAGCACTCAACAAACGATCCAAGTTAATTCGTACCTGTACCTGTAGCAAATATTCAACATATGCCTTACTAGTTCTACTTGTAATAGGCCTATACTTTGGTTACTCTCTGCACCATACCACCTCTAATTTACATGTAGGCCTAATCTTTTTAAAAAAAAGTGCCTACCGGTATATATTGTTTCTATAGCTCACTAATACTGTGACATGATGATAGCATATAGCACAGGTGGGCAAAGTGCGGCCCATGAGCCGCATGCAGAGTTAAATCAAAAATTTACTTTGGCCCTCCGACCCATTTAAATGCTCACCCCTAGCATATAGCGTAAAAATTGCAGTTGTCATTCGTTTGAAAATTCATTATTATTATTACTATTAGGCCTATGTTAGTAACACTAAGTTACCACCTCCAATTAGAGACCAAAGACCGTGTTTTTGGCGGACCGCACTGAAAATTTTCCTTCCAAATGAAGACCATTATAAAATTTCTGTTCTATAATAAATTTAGTTATATGACTTCAACATAAAAAATATTAGCCAATGCACGTATGATACTACTGTATTATGTTTTATGTGTGTTTTGTGTATATTAAATAACGATAATGATGTTAGTAATATTTTACTAACATCATAGGTAAGTCAAAGACCACATCGATGATACGCACTTCAACACAATAATGCTGTGAGTTATGAGTTCCAACGGTCTCCGACCACCTACCAAACTAAAATGTTCCCTTCAAATAAAGAATACGTTACAATAAATAATTACTTTAAACAGTTAAAAAAAATGATGATAAGATACTATCAAAATAATACACAGTATATGATGATTTTTGTATATACAACGCTCTATATTGAACAGGAGTATACTGATATTTTTAGTTATGGACGGTGTTGTTAGCATATATTATTATTGAGATTTGGGTAGAATGAGTGCAGTACTTGATGTGTGACTACCGAGAAATGGTTTGTTAAAAATCGATAACATCATAAGTGTACATCCACTCTAAAACACTTGGAATAAAATAATCTTATATTTACTATAGCATTTCCCTCTAATAGAGATATATAATGACCACTTTTAGTGCCGGTCTTTAATTAGAGGGATTCTAATTAGATACCAAAGCTGCTAAATTCCTTTAAAACCCAGGTCGCAAAAGTGGTCTTTATTTGGAGGTAGACCTGTATATAAATCTGAATCATAACCGAATACAGTAGTTGGTTTAGAGTTTTCCCCCATTTGAATCTACTAATGAAATACTTTGCAATATGTATTTGTTTATAAAAATCTAATTAGGCTCGCAAATATAATAACAAAAACTAATATTTTTTTAGATAAAGTTGTTTAACGATGATCGTCCAATAGATTTTTTTATTGTTCACTAATTTCTTTTATATTTCCTTCACCGTCATCCATCAGAAGTTTCCACAGGTATGGTTACAAACACCCCTTCTGCTATTACTACTACGAACAAGGTAACACCAACCAAATGGCCAAAAAAAGAGGCAATTCCAGATGAAGGTAGTGTAGATCAACATTTTGAGCAAGTTTCATTAGCTTATATTATATATAGACAGCAGAAGTCTCGGGTTCGAAACCCGCTTAAGGCAAATTTTCACCGTGTTCCCAGATTCATCTTTCTTAACCTTCAATATCTATATTCCATTATAGCATTAAAAGTATATATACTGTCTCTTATACACATCTGATCGTAAGTGTATTTTTAATGACATTAAAAATGCTCGGTTTTATTTTAATTCGTCTCAGATGGAGCAAAGATTTTTCGACAGGATAAAGCAACCAATCATCATCATCATCACCATCATCATCATCATCATCATACACACATAACTGTTAACACCGGCCCAGTGCCGAAATGCAATCTTCAGGAGTGAGAGAATACAAGGGTTGTGCGAGTATATGAGTGCTAAGACAGGTGAAAATGCAAATGCGTTAATTGTTTTTAAGTAGGTATTTGTTGCTGTGCCTGCATTTAGACAATAGCTCGGTTCTTTTGTTTAGTGTTGACTGTTTGTCTGAATATATTATGTGAAGTTTCTCGGCTATGCTGCACAGGTTGCAGCGTTTTGTTTTTGGGGAGTAAGCCGATGCTCTGTCGATGATAGACCATTTAATGTTGTAGGGTGTGTTGCTATCTTTTAATTTCCATACGTATTTGGAGAGTACGGTGCTGTTTATGTGTTTGGGGGTGTTGAAAGTGTATTTGTGGTTTGTGTATCGGGTTTTTTGAACGGTGTGTCGGTGAGCCCGATGTAGCATTTTTTGTCATCATTTGAGTAGACAATGGCTTTGTAGATGATGGATGAGGTGAGGCAATTTCCAGAGAGTGGACATTCATCTTTTTTCCTGCAATTGCAGAGAGTTTTTGGCTGTTGTTGCTTAGCAACCAGAAGCTGTTTGTTGTGGGCTTTGATTATACTGCCCGTGTTTCTTGAGCAGCTATAGCTGACTTTGACATTGTTCTTGTTAAAGAGCTTATGTAAAATGTTGCCACTCGGGAAATGCTTTTTGACCAGGTTAAGGAATGATTTTCCGATGTTGGTTTTCACTCCTTTGCTGAATGGTGGGTTGTACCAGATTATTTGGCTGCTTCTATTTTTCTTTGAAGATTTTGGTTGTAGAGGCTGATATTCCATTTTGTGCTGGAATCCGCTGTTTTGTAGAGCTTGTTCGTAGTCAGGGGCGGCCTGATGGAATGATTCACTGGAATCAGATATATTGGATATGTGTCTGTTAATAGATGCGGGGAATTTTTTCAGGATAAATGGGGGATGGTTGGATTTGCTGTTGACGTAGAGTAGTTGGTTGTTTGGTTTGCTGTAAGGCTTGAAGTACTCATTTTTTAGGCTGAGTGTGACATCGAGGAAGTTGGTGGTGTGCATGTTCGCCTGTATGGTGATGCGGAGGTCGAATGCGTGGAAGATAGATATAAGATTTTCCTCATTTTATCGCATTGTCTTGGTGATGAACTGTTCATGACGGCGAGGCCATCATCTCGGTAGAGAAATTTTCAGCAACACCCGACCACACTGACTTACACTCCCGTCGGAAACATCGGCAATCCGTCGGGAAATTTCTGGTTCCACACCTGGACAATGTTAATGTACAAACACACACACATAAACAAATTTTAAAAAATTAAATAAATGTTTCCACTCAATTGATTTTATTTTAGTTGTTGTATCTCTTTTATTTCTACCTTATTAATATAGGTATACGTACTTTCAAACACATCGTTGGAGTCAGTTGTCTCAAAGAATGGTTCTCTTGGTAACTTACAAAATAAAAACATAATAAAAGATTCAAATTCAAACCAGAAAAATGTAACCATATTAACTGTTCTCAATTCATTTTATTCGCAGTATTGACAGTTGTAAATGTGACAATGTATGTGATTGCTTCAAATGTCGCTAAAGAATGTGCTGATGCTCCCTCAATAGCCAAATGTCCTAATCTTACTAAAGAATTTAAAAAAGAGGTAAAAGTTCACAATTTTACATTTCATCGTTAATTTTTAAGCATATTTAAATAATACGCCATGACGGTCAGTATACTTAAATACTGTTAACATAACAAATGGTATATTATGCAAAATTTGTATGTAAAATATTCGTAATAAAATAACAAAACACAAAACTAATTACAAATGATTAAGAAACAGATAGTTTCATTCTTCAGTTAAAAGTAGATAAACCAAATAGATACTGTACAAGGATTTCTGTAAAATATTGTTAATGACAATATACCGGTAAGTAGGCCTGTTCCATAAATCGACAGTTCAAAGCAAGCATAGCATAGGCCTCTCTGACTGTAAAAGCACCAATGCTTTGTCCCTCACCCTTAAATAAACACGTATACGGAGGGAGCCTTATAAAAACTGATATTATTACAACAATTAATTTTCATATATCTACAATTACTAACAGTTTGGCGAGGCATACTCTGAATTTGATCCTAAAGCGTATCATAGGTTGGTCGTCACGGATATCTCAAGGTAAGTTACTAATGAAGTTTGTAGTCGGTACTTGTAAACTCATGTGGGGCATGTGGAAAGCAGCTAAAAAGAATCACAATAAAAACTAAATCAGAATAACTGGATTATACTGCACACTAAAGACTGTTTTCTGTTATATAGTAAAAGAAAGCCAAAAGTATACAGATTTGACACAGGCAGCGTTGGACTAAAGCCTGAAATCACCATTTCGTCGAATAGGCCTAATAGATAGACCTACGCTATTTTAGAACTACAGTACCCTACGACGAAATGGACTATCTATAAATTACTATCCCTGGCACTACAGCCTTATGTAACCTCAGCATTCAATGCCAATTTATTTTATTTTAATAAGATTATTGCTATTTCAGCTTTGATAAAAGACCGCTCAAAGCATATACAACAGAAGAACAACAGCTCAACGTCGATCATTATGTGGAGTATAAATATACTAAGGAATTAGATGAGATGTCCGTAGAAAATTTTACAAAAGAAGTATTTCGAGATGAAACATATGGAAGCTTTACATATAATGATAGTTTTATTGTCATTGACACCGGTAGGCCATCACTTTTTGATATTCAGCTATACCCATAGATTTGTTCATATTTGATTACTTATGAGGCACAGGCCTACACATTTTATTCATGCAACATTAAGGATACTGCAGGTCTACAGTAGCATAAAAAGTAAGGCCTAATACTAGTAAGTAAAACTACCACCACTACTAGTCCTACTACTATCTACTACTACTGGTGAAAAAAGTAATAGTAGTATTGTGTAATATAATAATAATAATAATAATAATAATAATAATAATAATAATAATAATAATAATAATAATAATAATAATAATAATAATATTAATAATAATATTAATAATACTACATGTACATCGCTTGACTGATGGACGGTTACCAAAAGACATAATGAATGGGGAACTGACTTCAGGTACAAGATCTTTAGTACGACACAAACTACGTTTCAAAGACATATGCAAGCGCGACCTCCAAACCTTCAACATAGATCCTACTTCGTGGGAATTATTAGCAGAAAACCGAGGAACATGGAGTAGAAAACTACATGAAGGTGCCAAATTCTTCGAGGAACAATGGATTGACACACTGAAAAAAGGAAGCGAGAAGAGGAAAAGATCTTTTAACTAACGACCAAATTTATGATGATTATCTGTGCGAGAAGTGTCAAAGGAGATGTAAATCTAGAATTGGACTAATCAGTCACGAAAGGAAATGTCTCAAGACAAATTAAATATATAATCCATACATTAAAGGAAAAATAAACACTATGAAGAAATTAATATTAATTATTAATTATTAATAGTAAAACAATACCACAAACATACACAAAACACATACAGCATTTATTTTGTCTGATGTGGATGCATCTTTGCCATCGTCTGTCACAGATAGAAGGTGCCATATATATTAATAATAATATAATAAGTAAAACTACCACCACCACTATTCCTACTACTATCTACTGGTGAAAAAGTAGTAGTAGTATTGTGTAATATAATAACTAAATAATAATAATAATAATAATAATAATAATAATAATATAAAAAAAAATAATAATAGGTAAAACTACCAAATAATTTTGTTACATTTAATTATTTGTTTCTAGCCGTACTTATTATGTAATGGAGTGTATCTGGTGGTATTTAAATCAGTTTAACCATGAAGCCTCCGTGGTCTAATGGTTATGACGCTCGCCTTGACAGTGAGAGGTCGCAGGTTCGAGTCCCGCCAGAGGCTTTTTATTACACAATTTCTTTATTCATTTATTTACAGGACTACATTCGTTGCGAGCTATGCTACACGATGTATTATTATGTCCTCTATTATAACACTGTATTTACCTTTCTTTGATGATTTATGTATATATATATATATATATACGTTATATATTACGTTACGTACGTTACTTTCTTTTGGAAATGCCATTTTAATTGTAATGAGGGTGTTCTTGAGAATGATGGCTATGAAGATGATTGTTATCAGGATGATATCGATATATTTTTTCCATAGATAGATATATAAGTCACTTTTTTATTCTTGAAAACTTATTCAATAATAAAATAATGTTGTGATTGAATTAACAAGTAAATAAAACATCAGAAATAACAAATTCATTATAAAAATCATACTCAAAAGCCATCATAAAAATATTTATGTAATACTACCACCACCACTACTACTAGTGAAAAGTAGGTAGTGTAATATAATAATCAAAATAATCAAACTATAAAAAATATAGTAATAGAATTAGTCTAACAAAACTAACTACAAACATAAATCCTTTCCGAGCCACAAGGGCTGGAGCTTATCCACAGTTTCTGTAGTGTTTGAAGCGGATGAGAGTTGTACTCTCTCTGGACAGGACACTAGTCCGTCGCAGGCAAGTTCCCAGCAATTTGCTGGTACCCATTGATACAGCTGGGTGGACTGAAGCAATGTAGCTTGGTGGTATCCTCCATACCATAGAGGATACCACCATGGTCATACCAAACAATCCCTGTAACTGGCATTTAAACCAGTGCAGCTCTTTTTGGGATATTTTGTACACAAGGAACACACAGGACCTAAACAATTTAAATGACCCTCAAGTTCACCCCTAATGTGGATTGTGACCAGCGCTTGATATTTTATTCCTTGTAATTTCTTTAAACCTCCAGGAAAGTTTCATTCTTGTCAGTTGATTAGTTTTTGAGATAGCTTGTCTAGGACAAAATCCTTTAAATGGTCCTCACATCCACACCCTAATCCGGACAGTCACCAAAATTTAATCACCTCATCCTAGGGTCAAACCTAACAATCCCTGTCACTGGAATTTACATATGCAGCCGTTTTTGAGATATTTTGTACACAAGAAAAAAACTGAAACAGCAAAGCGTTACACACGCACCCACACACCCACAAACACACGAAACAAAAACATATAACTCCAATAATAATAATAATAATAATAATAATAATAATAATAATAATGATGATGATGATGATGATGATGATGATGATGATGATGATGATGATGATGATGATGATGATGATAATAATAGAATTCAATATAACTTTATTGTTAACAGAAATTCATTTTAAACCAAACAGTTAAAATGTGTGCGATCAGACCAATTTTATAAATTGCCATAAAATAGGCCTATACGTAAGTGTTTATAAATAAATAATTATATATATATATATATATGTGTGTGTGTGTGTGTGTGTGTGGGAGGGAGTGGGTGGGTGGGTGTATGTGTAATTGTAATGATGATGGGAGCTCTTGAGAGTGGCTATGAAGATGATCGTAATCAGGATGGTATTGATATGTTTTGTTTTTTTCCATTAATGTTGTTCTTTTACAGATTTTTGCAATGAGGAGTACTACTATCCCTGCGAAGATTCCTTTAAATTTAGATGTAATGACGAAAATAAACCAGAATGTGCTTCGAAGTGTGAGGATTCATTTAATTGGTGCCATAATGGATCTTGCAGTGTTGGAAATGGTGGTGAAATATCCTGCAAGTACGTATGATAAAAGCAATTTCAATTATATAATAACTTGGTAAATTTCTTATGTTTCCGTTTTCAAGCACTGTCAATTTTCACCACTGTCGATTTTTATTTTACAAAATCAAAAATAAATAAATTGGTCACAGACGGTTTACAGGCACCTTTTTATTATTGACTATTGACTATTGATTATCATTATTCTATTTATTATGCACTATGTTAATTACACTAGTTTTAAAGGTGAAATTATATAATGACGTGTAGCTGTAAATTTATCGTGTATTTCTTAAGGTTGTGTTTCAATAACGTTTTGTTTTTGTGCTGAATTTTATACAGTCGTGTATTCTGATTGTACAGTTATATTATGTCTACTTCAAATACTTCAATGTATTCTACAGCAAATGTATCTTTAATTTTCAGGTGTACGTCTGCAGATAATTTTAAATACACTGGTTCGCAATGTGACCAATTGGAATGTGAGTCAATAGGAGACCTGGTTTACTATGGTGATACGTGTGAAAATAAGTCATGTAACAGAGAAGATAAAAAATGGTACATTGGAAAAGATTGCCAATTCCCTGTAAACAAGATCTGGTTAATAGTTGGTCTGTCAGTTGGTGGCGCCCTCTTCCTGTTTATGATCACTCTTGTGATATGCTTGTCCTGTAAGCTCGTCGGAAGAAGGAAAGATGAGGACGATTTGGAAGATTCTGTGGATAACTCCATGTAAAGTATTTTTGTCACTTAATCAATATGCCTCATTGCCTTATAAACATAACCTATTAAACATATAGGCAATCATTGAAATAGTAGCATATATAAAAACTGGGGTGGGGAAGTGAAAAGGTGGCTTCCTTGCTTTAGGGACTGAAATTGGCAATTACCTTAGATTCAGCAATCAAAACAGTTCGAATTTTAAGAATTATATGTATTTTTACAAACTTTTTTTTCAATATTTTCTACTCCTAATGGGAATAATTAATACCAAATGAGATTTAAAATAATCATTATTTCTTTCTTATTGAAAAGTATTTCGGCTTACGAAGACGAACGCCATAAACTATCTAGTCCTATGCTGAGTGGTGTGAAAAATCCCACATATCTTCATGATGAGGGTGAGAGCGGTGACTCAATACACAAGGACCGGCCTTTCTCCTACTTTCAACCTTCCTCACCCGTGGACCCATACTACAGCAATACTACGTTTGGTTATGGAAATGATGGACCGAGTATATTCCCGCCAGATGACCCGAATTCAGAAGTTGAAATGCATGCGGAGACCGAACAAAAACCGACCCATGTTTTTACTAGTGATCTCGCTCAAACGAACAAAAAAAACGTCAAGAAACAACAGACAAAATCAACTGACAAGAAAAAGAAAAGTAGCAAGCAAGCAAACGAATCGAAAAGGGGGAAATCCACAGTGTCACCCGTATTTGACTATAATGAGGATATTATGTACCTCGAAGAAAATACCTTATGGAGTCCCGAATTACCTGTCGTGTGGGAGGGAGTGGGTGGGAGGGTTTATGTGTAATTGTAATGATAATGGGAGCTCTTGAGTGTGGCTATGAAGATGATCGTAATCAGGATGGTATTGATATGTTTTTTTTCCATTAATGTTGTTCTTTTACAGATTTTTGCAATGAGGAGTACTACTATCCATGCGAAGATTCCTTTAAATTTAGATGTAATAACAAAAGTGAACCAGAATGTGCTTCGAAGTGTGATGATTCATTTAAACCGTGTAATAATCATGGAGATTGCGATGTAATTGATGGTGAAATATCCTGCAAGTACGTATGATAAAAGCAATTTAAATTATATAATAACTTGGTAAATTTCTTATGCTTCCGTTTTCAAGCACACTCGATTTTCAAGCACTGTCAATTTTCACCACTGTCGATTTTTATTTTACAAAATCAAAAATAAATAAATTGGGCACAGACGGTTTACAGGCACCTTTTTATTATTGACTATTGATTATCATTATTCTATTTATTATGCACTATGTTAATTACACTAGTTTTAAAGGTGAAATTATATAATGACGTGTAGCTGTAAATTTATCGTGTATTTCTTAAGGTTGTGTTTCAATAACGTTTTGTTTTTGTGCTGAATTTTATACAGTCGTGCAATTCTGATTGTACAGTTATATTATGTCTACTTCAAATACTTCAATGTATTCTACAGCAAATGTATCTTTAATTTTCAGGTGTACGTCTGCAGATAATTTTAAATACACTGGTTCACAATGTGACCAATTGGAATGTGAGTCAAAAGGAGACCTGGTTTACTATGGTGATACGTGTGACAAAAAGTCATGTTACAGAGAAGATAAAAAATGGTACATTGGAAAAGATTGCCAATTCCCTGTAAACAAGATCTGGTTAATAGTTGGTCTGTCAGTTGGTGGCGCCCTCTTCCTGTTTATGATTACTCTTGTGATTTGCTTATCTTGTAAGCGCGTTGGAAGAAGGAAAGATGAAGACGATTTGGAAGATTCTGTGGATAACTCCATGTAAAGTATTTTTATCACTTAAACAATATGCCGCATTGCCTTATAAACATATTAAACATATAGGCAATCATTGAAATAGTAGCATATATAAAAACTGGGGTGGGGAAGTGAAAAGGTGGCTTTCCCTGCTTTAGGGACTAGAATTAGCTTCTACCTTAGATTCAGCAATCAAAACAGAATTTTTAGAATAATGTATCTTTACAGGGGCGGATCCAGAGAATTTCTGACAGGTGGGGGGGGGGGGGGGGAACCGAGGAACAATATGAAGTTCTCGCCGAAAGACCACCTCAGCCCCACCATGGTTGGTGTAAATAAGTGGCAAATAATCGAGCTCTCCTTTCATCCCACTGCTGGATCGCGACTGAACTCATGGGTACACTAATTTTTTCCTCTTTTTAACACAAATTTTTGACTGTTTGACTGATCGGGGGTTGGGGCACGGGCCCTCATGGCCCCGCTGGATCCGCCACTGTTTTACAGTTTTATTCAACATGTTTTACTCCTAATGGGGATACCTAATACCAAATGAAATTAAAAATAATCAATTTTTCTTTCTTATTGAAAAGTATTTCGGCTTACGAAGACGAACGCCATAAACTATCTAGTCCTATGCTGAGTGGTGTGAAAAATCCCACATATCTTCATGATGAGGGTGAGAGCGGTGACTCAATACACAAGGACCGGCCTTTCTCCTACTTTCAACCTTCCTCACCCGTGGACCCATACTACAGCAATACTACGTTTGGTTATGGAAATGATGGACCGAGTATATTCCCGCCAGATGACCCGAATTCAGAAGTTGAAATGCATGCGGAGACCGAACAAAAACCGACCCATGTTTTTACTAGTGATCTCGCTCAAACGAACAAAAAAAACGTCAAGAAACAACAGACAAAATCAACTGACAAGAAAAAGAAAAGTAGCAAGCAAGCAAACGAATCGAAAAGGGGGAAATCCACAGTGTCACCCGTATTTGACTATAATGAGGATATTATGTACCTCGAAGAAAATACCTTATGGAGTCCCGAATTACTGTCGAAAATGAAGCAGCCGGTAAGTGGCCTATAACCGGCCCACGTTTCTATTTTAATATTCTCTCACCTTGCTGATCCAGTCGAAACACACCCATGGGCGTCGATCGGTGGGGAACAGGGGGACACGTTCTCTCCCCACTTTTCAAAGCAGGGGACATTGTATCAATTGTCCCCTCCCCCCACTTTTCACCAATCTTCTATAATTAAAACCCCACTTTTCAAAGCGAATGGAAAGAATAACATTACACATGACTGTAGTAACTTTTGTCTGTTCACTTTTCCAATTGCGGTGCGTATTTCTAGACCAAAACCGAGTAAAAACGCAATTGTTTGTACATTTCGTAACCATCTCAGAACCACTACATCGAGTTTATGGGTGCAACGGTTACCAGAGGCTAAATTTATTATGAAAACAATTACTGTTCGTTGTAAAATTGGAAGCATGTAAACTTATTAGGCCTAGGCCAAATTTTTACAAACTCAAAAGTGCACAATTTCTACTATAAACCATTTATTCCTTTTGTATATTATTATAACCAGTACGTATATATTAGTGTTGAATATTATCTGCATACTCTATAGATTACTGTTTTTCATAATTTCAAAAAATTATAGTTAGTCAATTGAATTTTATATAGCCGTTATTAAACAATAATTATACAGCCTTTGACACGGACAGGTCTATCTATTTGGATTCTTTTAAATAGTGATAGACCTACCACAAGTTTACAAACTACTGTGTTACATTAACGCAATCTCGTAATGACGTCATAAAAATCAGTGGCGGATTCAAGTGGGGGGTTGGGGGAGGGGCGAACCGACCCACTACCCCCCTCCACCGTAATTTTTTAAAGAATTGTTTAAAAAATGGGGGAAAAAGAAAATTATAAATTAGAATTTAGGTCTGAGAGTACCATCTAGAGTTGTCATAATCATAAATTTTCTTACTTCAGCCATAACATTATTTTCAACCACGGATCGACGCCCTTGAACACACCCAACACCCAATGACAGCTATTAATACTACAGTACTAAGCTAAACTCCCATATTGATTTTATTCTGCCACTGGTTCAAAGGTCCTATTATATGAGTAATTGAAAATCCAAAGTTAGCAGGACTTCGATTCAAATTCATATTCAAAGAAAAATTGTGTTTTTGGTCCGAAGTTTTCCTTGTGATTACTCATCTTTAATTTCTATATAATTTGCTTTTATTATCTAATTACATTTAAGGGGGAAACTACGAAAGTCTCGGACTTGAGTTAAGACATTCAACTGACAATTGCCTACGTAATCACCTGACGAAACAAACCAGATTATTAGTAAGATTATTGCTATAAAGTAGGTTTACACATAATTCGCTTTATTTTCTTATCTATAGATTAGCATCAAACGTGCAGAACCGCATCCTTTTTATTCTTGTCTTTATTTTTCTCTTCTATTTTTCTTTCCTTTTCTTTTCCTCTTCTTTCTCTTTCCCTCCCTCTCCCCTCTTTCTTTTCTCTTATTACCCAGCCCAGTACGACGGCTTGGTCAGCCCGGGAAAAACTGTCAGGGGAGGGGCAGTTTTCCCCCTGCCCCCCCGCGCCTGTTACTACACTGGCTAACACGCCAATCATCCCCCCCAATGAAAAATATTTTTCTACGCCACTGTTCATATTCAAAGAAAAATTGTGTTTTTGGTCCGAAGTTTTCCTTGCGATTACTCATCTTTAATTTCTATATAATTTGCTTTTATTATCTAATTACATTTAAGGGGGAAACTACGAAAGTCTCGGACTTGAGTTAAGACATTCAACTGACAATTGCCTACGAAATCACCTGACGAAACAAACCAGATTATTAGTAAAATTATTGCTATAAAGTAGGTTTACACATAATTCGCTTTATTTTCTTATCTATAGATTAGCATCAAACGTGCAGAACCGCAAAACATGGATGCCTACAACTATCCAGTAAGTATAAAGTAGGCCAATATAAAAAAGTAAAAATGTTACTCATCTGGCATTTTAAAACAGATGAAATTGAAGCCCTACCAGGTTACATCTTGAAACACATGTGGATACCCATTACGTATGACAATGTTTGAATTCCTGTAGGATTATGTAGGGGTTTTGGCTTATAAATTAAAGAAAAAAAAGGTTTCAACATTATAAAGGAAAGGAAGAGTAACATGTTTTTTTTTTATCTGAATAAAACGCTTACTAATAATAATAATAATAATAATAATAATAATAATAATAATAATGATAACAATAATAATAGTAATAGTTATAGTAATAGTAGTAGTAGTAGTTGTAATAATAATAATAATAATAATAATAATAATAATAATAATAATAAATACAATAAAGTTAATATTGGTATTGATGATTATGAGGATGTTGACAATGGCAATGATAACGATGATGGTGATATTGAGAATCATATATGTCATGTACATTAATATAATAAAAATAATAATAATAATTATTATTATTATTATTATTATTAATATTATCATTATTTCTATTACTATTTTAACAGTGATGTAGGCCTATGTATAATATTAATGATAATAACAGCAATAATAACAATTGATAATGATGTTGAACAATAATGATTATAATATCAATACCACTAATAAAGCTACTAATATAATTATTATCTATTGCAAGCATATCCTTGCGTGCGCTTCATTTTATTTAAACACATCATCTTTCAATATTTCAGGACGCCGATTATTAGGTTTTCCGACAAAATCAAGTCACAGAATAAGTAACAGGACGTGGCAACGTAGGTGTGTCAGGATTACCATCAATCTACATTCAAACCACTAACACTAGACCTGGTCTGGTATTTTATAGAACGTGAAATGTTTTTTTTTATGTTGGCCTACCGTAGTTGATATTTACTGTAGATAGTAGCCGTACACAGTACGGCAGTTCTTCTTTAGTAACTTTTATTTAAAATAACTATACATTTAATGATACGATATAATATTGTTTTAGTATAGTTCCCCTACACCTGTGTCTCAGGGCGCTGTCAAGCAATCGCTGCCAGTGGTGGATTCAAGGGAACCCAGTGTTGTTCACTCATTTACGTTACCGTACTTATTTACTCATTTTTAGCTCCGATGAGGAGCTCTAGAAACACTCGGCTAATTGATTAATAGATCTATTTTGTATGGGCTGCCGTTAGGGCCAATATACTCTACTGCCTCTATTATACTGCCCTCATCGGAGCTTTTGAGATTACAAGAACTTGTTACTACTGCCAATACAGCGTTCATTCAGTCTGTTACCAATTACCACTTCGTGTATACTAGCATTATAGGCCTATTATGTTTGGTTTGAGAGAATGGAACCATAATATTACGACTTTAGTGTATGGAACAAGAAATTCTTTAGTAATGCCAATAGGTCTACTGTCGCTTATGTGTGTTTATGTTGTGACCCACTCGGCCCAGCAGTACTGGTGATATACCATACCAAGGCATAATTCATAAACCATTTACGAGTTTGTAAAAGAATGTTGGGGTAAACATATTATAATATTGGGGAGAATTGGTCCATCTTTTAGAAGAGAAATAATAAATGACATAAAATCATTGAACAAAAATAATATTAAAACGCATCCATATAAATATGCATCTGCGTCTGAAGTGCTCAATTATGGTATTGAATAGTCTCTATACCCATAATTTTGGACAGGGCCCCAGCGGCAGTTACCCGTACTGAACCAGTCAATATTTGGCTCCAAGTTTGGCTGCTGATGATAGAAAGTAAGTAACTGTAAGTGTATAAAGTACTTGAGCTCAATTACTTTGTCAGTGCTTTAGGTATAAGCTATTATTCATTGTCATCATTTTGTTTTCAAATGGGAAACACTAATTCGCATTCCCTAAAACTGTTGTCATATAAACAGTCATAAGCAAATAAGCAGTTAATAAGACGTACCTTATGTAAATAACATTTTTCTCCATGTGTGAAGTTAATATGTAACATAGGAAGTGTATTTTATCATTTGTACATTTGTTTATGGTGCATTTTCCTCTCTTTGGTGTTGTTAAGCGCCTCGAGGTTGTGACAATATGATTCAGATTCAGATTTATTTGGTCCTTGCGGAAACTCATTTAAGGCAACAATCGCAATACAATGAGATGCAAAAGTACAAAGAAATAAAAACAAAGAATAGCAAAAAAAAAAATGCGCTATATAAATACAGAATTATTAGTTATATTATTATTATCAAGATATTACCGTTGTATTAACCTGTAAGAATTTCCTTTAGTATGTTAAATATTCATTATACTGGCATTATATTATTATTATTATTATTATTATTATTATTATTATTATTATTATTATTATTATTATTATTATTTTTATTATTATTATTATTATTATTATTTTTAGTATTATTATTATTAGTATTATTATTATTATTAATGTTATTATTATTATTATTGCTATTATTATTATTATTGTTAATATTATTATTATTATTAATATTATTATTATTAGCTTATTGCCCATATGGCATCGTTCATGTAGGTGTATATTCAGATACAGACATAAATGTATACTAAGCATTAGATTATTTATTGCCATTATAGCTGCAGTGTGTTTCCAAGAAATATAATAAAGTCTACAATCAATTGTATAATTTTGCTCAATTTTTATTGTCTACAGCATAGTTAAAGTGCAAAACCAGATAAGATGTACCGTAATGATCACAACAATGTGGATTGCTACTTGAATTGTGCTATATAATAATGATTGATTGACTTGAGTAGTTGATTGGTTTTATCGTGTTTATTGTGTTGAAATATGCTGAGGTTCATGTAATTTTAGTTTCTATATATAGGCCACTATTATTATTATTAATCCTCTCTCATTTATTCACTACTGTTCTCTTTTTCCTCTATTTTCCTTTCTTAAGGCCGCTACTAAAAAAGGACAATAAATACCGGTACCATACATTATGTAGGCATATATTTGAGGAATTCAAAACGAATAAAAACTTTACATAGATGTATACTCCAACCAGCTTCTCTCCCCAAAATACAAAAAAAAAATACATTTAGTTATTCAAAAACCCATAAAGAGTTTCACTTTTGAAATAGTCAGATATTAAAAACATAAAAAAATAATTATCAGTTTTCAATTATTTACAGACGTGTTTACTACGAAATCCTTAATATAATCCTTGGCCCTAGCCTATGAATGGTCTTATTTAAACAAGATTGCTTCCTATATTTTTGGGATTTAAAAAAAATGTTACTTCCTATATTTTTGGGATTAAAAAAAAAATGTTACAACTTATTGTAGATTTACGTGGCAACGTGTACAATAGTATATAGCCGGTATATACCAAAAGCATTCATAACTTGTGTAATTTAACAAACAAAAAAACAACAAAAACAAAAAAACAAAACAAAAAACCTGTTACCAAACCTATGAAAATATATCTAGTGAGCGATTCTGAAGGAACAAATTCATATAATTTAGAAATCGTTGGAAAAATAAAATACAATATTGATGTTGACTTTAAGGCCAAATAAAAAAATATTGTGTTGACCACGCCCGACTGACCCAAATTTTACGAAATTCAGGGTCGGCATTTTATTTATTTATTTATTTTTTACTACAAGGTACAATAATTTTTTCCACGAGTTTATAAGGCTGGAATAGCCCTACCCAATTTTTGGATTTCCCCAAAACGTGGCCAACACAATTTTTTTGTGGAACAAACAATGGCTGGACTGTTGTACTGAACAGTTTCAAAATTTCCAATAGTCTCCGCATCTCGTTTTTTTCGCACTCCCATTTACTACTACCAATAACACCAATAACAATAATGTTACGTTACCATAGAAACTGTCATGGATAACGCTCATATTTTGAAGGAATAATACACGATTGAGAACAAGGAGCGATCTTTGTATCCAACAGTTTACCAAACGATGCGGAACGCTTCGTCAGCTCATATTTTGTTTGACGTGAAATACACATTGGTTTCGTTTCAAGAAGTTTACAAGTCGTTGAACTAGTACAGTTTAGGCCCATGTTCCCGGAAGCTCAAGTGGTTTTAGCATCAAGTAAAACGACGTTGTCTGAATCTACGTACTTTCAAAATGACATTTAGCAGTCATTACATTGGTAAGATTTAGACTACTATGTATGCGCAAGGCAAACCGGTTCGGTGAGTATCATTTCTTAGTTTTAATAAATCATTTTGAGACTGGGGAATAGCTGTTTCAATGGGGCTGTGTACTTCAGTGGGACAATCCCCTTTCTTGAAACCAAGTGCTTGACTTTGAAAATATATAAATAATGGAATTAACAGCAGCACAGTGGGAGGGTGGATGGGGTCCATGGGAAAGCTCCTGCATTATCCTTTATAAGTCGTATTTAATTATATAGCAAATTAAAATTAAGGTTATTTCCACACTACGTTAACATAAAAAGGGTTTCAATTTACCTGGTATTCATGATCAAAAGCCCACTAATATATCTTGTGCAAACTAACATTCATAAACAATAATGATTTATAATGTATACCGTACCACTCGCTTTAAAGGTGGGGTTTTGACTATAGACGAATCGTGAATAGTGGGGTGGGGGGAAAATATGATGTCCCTCCTACTTTAAAATGTAGGAAACGTGTCCCCCTGTCCCCTACCGTTCGACTCCCTTTATCTTCTCTGACACAACTACAGAGAACTGCACTCCGAATCGTGTCCCTACTAACTGGGTCACATCTGCGTCTGGTTTTTGGTCTGGTGGGTAAAGCCGACTTCCTAAGGACTTGAGTAGGAATAGGGCCTATAACTGGAGGGGTAGAAAGAAGGTCGAATGATAGCAAAGGTCCAACACCGCATTTTAAGGCATGTCAGTCATGGGCATGCTTGCTGTACCGCCTCAGGGCACCATGGACCGTTAGGAAACTCACAATGCGAAGACAAATTTGGTAGTGAATTCTCGGAGTGTACAAAATGTACGATAGGGGAGAGGGGGTGGACAAATTTGTACACTTTTACATCAGTGCATACAAATGTTGATTCAAAATAACATGCAATATGTAAAATAATGTTAAAATTATAATGTAACCATAGGTATAATATTTATTTTTAAGTAACCAAATACTGTACATTGCTTTATAGTTGGTGAATGGTTTTGCAAGATCAACATTTTTGTACACTTTCAGAGGGGAGGGAGGGGGTATCAAAAAAGAGTACTGTTTGTAAACTTGTGAAAATGTTGATAATTGTGAACCACCTTTAAGCGAAAATTACATCTCCACGGAAGAAATCTTGATCAGTATTCTGTTTGGACATGTCTCTCGTAAAAACATGCAACCATCTAAATTTGTCTGTAGTATTTTTTTTCTTCATTTCATTCATTTTCATTTTATATTTAATTCACCAAAAAAATGAAACAAAATCAAGAATGGTGGAGACCAATAATGAGCTAGGCTCATGTATATTGGCCACATTTACAGTGAAAAAAAAATGAAATAAATTGTGGACAAATTAAAAAAGCACTGACGTCACAGAACAAACAGCATTCAGGCACAAGGCAATATAGAAAACGAAATGCTGCAAGAATGATAATGATGTAAAGCTTAAGGTTATAAGGAATAGGCTATAATAGCATTTAGGTATCTCTCCATTTACTTGCAATAACAGAGCCAGATGACGTTTTTTTTTTTTGGTGTTTTCTTTAATAGTCAATGAGTTTGTCCTGATATATGAATAATAATAATTATTATAATGGTTTGGAATACTGGTAATAAGCATCGATATATTGTAAGGTATTATTGATGACGATGACGATGATTACGATGATGGTGATAACGATGATGATAATGATGATGATGATGATAATGATGATGATGATGATGATGATGATGATGATGATGATGATGATGATGATGATGATGATGATGATGATGATGATGATGATGATGATGATGATGATGTCGATGATGATGGCGATGATAATTTTTGTTTATTTCAGTTGTTATAATACATGAATTATATTTTTGTTGAAATTTTAACCAGCCACTAAGCTTATCCTGCATTAGTTTAATGAACGTTGTTTGTGGTGTCTTCGGTTACGTGACTGTGAATTACACCGTTACAGAACCGTGAAGTATTTGAAACAATAAATAGCTGCACGAGTAATATTAAACGACTCTCTCATACCAGTTTCATTGATCGATTCGGTTACATTGAAAGAAACACAACATTGTTGACAAATATTCTTCTTGGGTTTCCATGTTTAGACTCTTATGTGGCTGACGTATTTAAACAATAGTCAGATAGATGTACAGCCCTGTATAATTAGTACGGTGGCCCATAAGTGTCACTTATGGGCCACCGTGGTAGTATGGTAGTATACCGCTTTGTATGTCTAAACCAATTCAACGATTTTACTCTGGAGCTGAGTCAATTCACCCATAAACACACCTACTTTTGAAAATAATTGAGTGCACGCCAAAGTGCACTCGTGCCTTGCATCGCTCCTAGAGTATAATAGAAATGCCATGATAGGCCTATGCCTAAAAATTATGATATAATGAACTCCAATTGGATACAGAGGAACATCGATAAATTTAACAGTAACAGACAAAAAATATAGTTAGTCTACCAAAATACCTGGATTTGTAGATTGCAGAGTATGATTTTGTTGTAAACAGCAAACGCACGAAAACTAAAATACGTTTAGTCCAAGTGAGTGAGTTATGAATATTAGTCTATTGCAACCCAGTACAAATGTTAGAAAATTGCTTAAAACAAAACTTTAAAGCTTACTTTTAAAAACGGTGCCATAACACATTTATAGTGCAATTTATTCTTTTAATGATACTATGATTAATAAGAGGCAGCAATTAAAGTAATTTAAATCAATTAAATCATTGTTTTGCTCTGTTAAAAGGATTGTTAAAAAATACCGTTCAAGGAAGACCAGTATAGAGAGAGACAAGAGTGAATTAGAAGCGGTAAGTATAAGGCAGGCGCAAACTGCATTTCTTGACTTGTGTCGATATAGGACACGAGTAAGACTTGACATGGTATTAAGACATGCCTTAATGAGGTGACAGCTCTAGTGCAGGGTCAATTTTCCTTAACAGGAGGGGGGTCCAAAATCATCTCAGCCCCACCGTTTTTGGAGCAAATAGGCGCACTACAGTAGATGCCCGGAATTGGCGTTATGCTGTAAAATTCTCTTTTTAAGCTGTGTTGCCAGATGAGTGTCTCCTTTTGTTTTTAATATCCATTAACGTAATTTAAATTTATCTTGTTCCCGTTGATTGTACCAAACATAACTAAAATATAGATTTTAGAAGCTTTTAACATTATAAGCTTATTGAAATAATTAATTTCTCCTTGATCGTAAAAACTGCTGTTCGAGAAGATAGTAATAGGCCAATAATTTAGAAGCACTCAGTCCTAATAAGGCAGTATTAGGTAGAAGTCAAATTAAGTCTCATATAATTTAGTATATTTTAAAATGGGGGCCTCGTATAAATGCAGTATCTAAGCCAAAAGCGAGTACATAGATTTAATAGGAGTGGTTAGGGTAGGGAAAGTTAGGGAAGAGCGGTGGGGCAGGTTAGACCTGGAATCTATTTTTATGGCATGTTCAATTACAATTTTATACCAGTTTTTCGATCCGAAGGTTTCTTTGTTTGTGGTTTTTGGTTTATAGATAATATTCTCCAGTATATTAACATTACAGCATATTATAATATTTGCAGGAGTTATGGCGCGCCGTGAAGTCAGGCGATCTGGAGTCTGTGGAGAGGCTAGTGAACGAGGGTGCTCAGGTGGATACGATGAAGGTAATGATAGGCCTCTCATAACATACTGCATGGTGTATAATATGCTTAAACATTTCATGTTTTCTTTTAGTTCACTGGTCAACTTATTATTAATATTAATAATATTGCAATAATGATAATACTTGTTTGAAGGTTTGCATGGCGAAGTAATAATATTAATGCTTGCAGAAACCACGTAGATAGTTCTGAAAATAAGTGTTGTTTGTTGTTCTCCTGAAGGCGATTGAACTCAATCGAAACGTCGAGACATTTTCAACAAACAGTTCTTTTTTCCGAACTATTTACGTGGTGTGCCGCAAGTATTAATAGGCCACATAATAATAACCCTGCACCTAATAATAATAATAATAATAATAATAATAATAATAATAATAATAATAATAATAATAATAATAATAACAATAATAATATACAAATATAATGTGGAATAATATAGGCCTATTAATAATATTATTATAATAATTTGTATTATGAAACCTGAATAGTTTGTGAGTAATTATAGCCGCATATTTTAGTTGTCATAGAGACGATCATTTCATCTATACTATTAATAATGGATTATATATTGATCTCCGAATTCTAATTTCTGGAATCACAATTATAATAACCGTAGTTCAAACTTCAGGTCATATCACGAGCACATGGAGCCACCTTAAGTTTTCATATTTTTCAAGAGATTCTTGAATTTAACATCAATCTATTATTTAGGAACGGATTTTAAAACATACGCAACAACGCTTATTCAAACAACTTAATATGATCATTGACTTTAATAAATACAGTATACAAATATAATGATACTAGGGAAACACGTTATCGACATAATTACATCCACACGACACTCACAATGATCAATTAATTTAAATTATGATATTGAGAACAAAGATGTTAAATCTGATCGTATTCCTGTTCTCATAACACTGAAGGCAGACCTTATATTATGCCAGAGTTTAGTATCTAAACTTCCTCCTTGCTAATGAACAACAACCACGTAACAATGCGATAATTTGTTCCGACTGAAGATGTTTTTTTGCTAATGGTCCCTAAAATGTCTGCATTTGTCCATGATCTCAGTTGTGTCGATTTCATGCATGCATTGATGGTGACCGTTAGCATTTGTGGATCATCTACCATTTGTTTGCACAATTCATAAGAATATAAGATATGACAAGGTGTATATCACTTAGCAACCACGAACAACAATGAAGGAACATCGCATACGCCTACGGTACATAGCAATAATAACAGCAACTATCATTATTACAATTATTATAGTAGTAAGAATAATACTGGTAACACTGAAGTATAATAATTATAGTAGTAACAATAATAATAATTGTAACATTAGTATAATAATAATAATAAAGTAGAAATAATTAATAATCAAAACCCTCAGTATAATCAATAGCATTGCAGTACCCATTGCCAATTGGGGGTCGGATTCAACATTTAGCTACTTAATCTAGTGGTTATGACACCAAGCTAGCTATTTGGAGGTCGTTGGTTCGATTCCCACCCGAATCACCTGTGAAATTTTTAATAGTCTCTGGGAATGTACTGAGTATCCAGTAGGATACGTTAACACGTCAAGTAGAGCAAATATCACTCCTGAGTTCATTGTTGTTGTCAGTATAATTTTATGAGTGTGGGTGTGTGTGTGTGTGTGTGTGTGTGGGGGGGGGTGTAGTTGATTGTATTCCTACAATTTACAATTACATTTTAATGTGTTTGTGAGAAGGATGTAGGTGCATGAGTGTCTGTGATGTGTGTTCTAGTATATGGCTGTCTGAAGGTCAGGAGTGTAGACATGAGACACTATATGTGCAACCTTTGATATTTGGGTCTTTCATAAGATTCCCTTGTTTTACGTTAGGATGGCATGTCATTACTTGTATTTGCGATTCAAGAAAACCAAACGGAGATATCAAAGAAGATTATAAGTTTAGGAGCTGATATCAGTACTAGGCACGAAGAGGTATGTAGGCCTACTTTATCACTAAAATTCCAATAGGTGTAATACTATAATATTAACTAAACGTACGGTACAATGTTTTTTTATTGGCATAATGAGAACTGATGTTGAAATTATAAAGTAAAAGAAAAAAACATCAACAAAATTAGAAAGTAGAAAAATACATGGAAGACAAATTGACAAATACTGAGACTCACACAAGGCCTATAGGTTGCGTGACGAGAGTCCGAATGAAGGGTTGCACTATTCAACCTTGTGATTTAATCGAGCTACACTATAGGCTTATGTGATAAGGATAAAAGTAGGCCTAATGATAGTGAGAAAAATGTGCCTAGATCTAATATGTTTTAGTAAATACAAAGGGAAATTATACAAAATGTGAATTTTCAATAATTGTTTACAGATATCTGACGGAGTCATACAATTTAAAACTGCAAAAGATTTTGCAGCTGAGCAAGGATTGGATGATTTATGCGAACTTCTACAAAATAAGCTCATACTCAATACGGTAGGTTGGAGTGAAGTTGTTAATTAAACAAGCCGATATCGTGAATGAAAATGTTAAACCCGTCTCTAAACACTTAGCTTAGGCCTATTGTTTTAAAATGTACAACATTTCTTTTCAGAATATTCGAACGGCGGTTCAAGACGGAAATATATTCTTAGTACAAAGTTTATTGAAACAAGGCGGAGACGTAAACGTAACGGTATTATAGTATATAATTGCAAGAGGCCCGACTGCCCTGATTTTGTATGCACACCCTTTTTGATTGTTTTTGTTTTTCATGTTTTGTATTGAATCTTGAGTGAAACGTGAAAATACTGTACCAAAGATATTATACTACCACGAGATAGGTGGCGCCCTATTATAATTCCAATAGAAAGTCAAACATGCGTTCACGTGCTCGATATAAACTCCTTTGACGTTCTTATGAATGACGCCCTCTAGTTGGTGGTTGAGATAGGATTATTACGTTCCAACCATGGAACAGTGAAATTACAATTATAATTTCACTGTTCCCTGGTTCCAACGAAACCCCGAGAGTCGGACCTCTTGCAGTTTTATACTTTGGCATTATTATGATTGAAATTTTGCAATTGAACTTCTTGCAAAATTTCAATCATACACTTTACTTAATTACACGTAAAAATTGTATACTAGAGTATAAGTACATGTATAAATTAATCACTCATCAGTGAATTATTATAAAACATTTACAAAATCCAAGCTATAAAAAAGTAAACTTACTGTATGTCGTGATTAGGCCTACATAATGGGTGAAAGTAATGTACTGTAAATGAGCATTCTGGTGGACTCACAGACTAAAGTGCCTATCACTCTTTCATTGGCGTTTGAGCCTGTACAATACTGTGGGGTACCTTCCCAACATATTATGCTGACATATATTTATAGTCTTGGAAGACGCAGACACATGTGCATGAGTGTCTTTTATCTAGTCCAGAGACACAAGTCCTGTACAGCGAGCGTTTCAAACCTCGACCTCAAGTTTGTGATATAATTAAAATTAATTATTTATTACCGGTACCCAGGGCCGGCGGAACGTTTTTCAAACTGGTGGGTGGGGGTGGGGAGTGGCACACTAGTAAGATGAATGGCAATATGATTGGGTTTAACTTTTGGGGGTGGGGTCAAATTTGTTCCCCAAAAGCCAAAAAGGAATGTGGGAGTGGGTTTCCGGGGGTTCTCCCATAATATTTTGAATCCTAGATGACGGGAAATGAGCTTTCCCGACTTCTGAGTGTCTTTTTATGACTTTTAAGTTCTTCAAAATTCAAGGTTTTCCCTCTTAAGGGGAAAAGAAAATTAAAATTTAATTTTAGTCAAACTTCCGACCATAGTCATGGTGGGGCTGTGGTCTGGATACTCCATCTGTAACCGTCCCTCCCTGGGCTATCTATTTCGAATTCATGGATCCGACATGATGGGAAGTATTCAAAACGTCACCTTCTCTACAATTAATAAAAGCCTAATGATGTTATGGCTTTATTGTTATGCTTCCTATTCAAAATAGCTACGACATCACCGTCCAATGCGTGATACTGGCATATACTAGCATATTATGAATAGGCAATTAGGCCTACATCGATTGTCCGCAATTTGACCATGAAAAATAAAATTATATTTCCACTATTCTGTCTTTATTGTTATGCTTCCTATTTAAAATAGCTACGACATTACAGTCCAATGCGTGATACTGGCATATACTAGCATATTATGAATAGGCAATTATATTGATTGTCCGCAATTTGACCATGAAAAATAAAATTATGTTTCCACTATTTTGTAACCATGTATTTTTTTAATTTTTATAGACAGACGACGGATATTCTTTGTTGATGGTAGCAATAAAAAATAGGGATTTGGATCTAGCCCTACTGCTACTGGAAGAAGATGCAGACGTCAGCTACGTCCTAGAGGTCTGTTTAAAAACAATTCTATCGTTTGGTCTACATGCAAACACTTACAAGGCTAAACGCGTTTATTTTGCTGCAAATAGACCAGACAGAAAACTACTATGCAACTCACGACGAGTATTGATGTTGTTGACACGATACGATTTACATGTACACAACTAGCATCCAATAAAATAACTGAATGAAGGACTCTTGGAATGACCGATTGAATGAACGAATAATTGAACGAATTATTTAATCAATGTATACATACACGAACAAACGAAATGAATGAATGAATGAATGGATGGATGGATGGATGGATGGATGGATGAATGGATGGATGGATGGATGAATGATGAATGTTGAATGAATGAATGAATGAGTTAATTAATTAATTAATTAATTAAGTGATGGATAGATGAATGAATGAATGAATGAATGAACGAATGAATGAATGAATGGTTGGATGGATAAATGGACGAAGGATGGATGGATGAATAAATGCTTAATGAATGAATAAATAAATAAATAAATGTAGGGATCCATGGATGGATGGATGAAGGAATGAATGAATGAGTTAATTAATTAATTAATAAGAGAATGAATGAATGAATGAATAAATGAATGAATGAAAGAATGAATGAATGAATGAATGGATGGATGAATAAATGCTGAATGAATAAATGAATGAATGAATGCATGATTGAATGAATAAATAAATGAATGAATGAATGAATAAATTAATGTAGGGATCGATGGATGGATGAATGAATGAATGAATGAATGAGTTAATTAATTTATAAGTGAATGAATGGATGAATGAATGAATGAATGAATAAATGCTGAATGAATGAATGAATGAACGATTAATTAATTAATTAATTAATAATTGAATGAATGGATGAATGAATTAATGAATTAATTAATTAATAAGTGAATGAATGCATGAATGGATGGATGGATGGATGGATGGATGAATAAATGCTTAATGAATGAATAAATAAATAAAAAAAATTAGGGATCCATGGATGGATCGATAGATGGATGGATGGATGAAGGAATTAATTAATGAGTTAATTAATTAATTAATAAGAGAATGAATGAATGAATGAATGAATGGAAGAATGAATGAATGAGTGAATGGATGGATGGATGAATAAATGCTGAATGAATAAATGAATGAATGAATGAATGAATGCATGATTGAATGAATAAATAAATGAATAAATAAATGAATAAATTAATGTAGGGATCAATGGATGGATGAATGAAGGAATGAATGAAGGAATGAATGAATGAGTTAATTCATTTATAAGTGAATGAATGAATGGATGGATGAATGAATGAATGAATGGATAAATGTTGAATGAATGAATGAATGGATGAACGAATGATTAATTAATTAATTAATTAATAATTGAATGAATGGATGAATGAATGAATGAATGAATGAATGAATGAATGAATGAATGAATGACGGACAGACGGACGAACGAAAGAACGAATGAATGCACAGTCGAATGCACAAATGAATGAATGTATGAATAAATGCAATGAACGAATGCAATATTTAATGTTTACATACAATTTGTTTTCCAAGGTTTGGGAACAGACGCTGTCGTCAATCGAACAATGGAAAATAACACGCTATACAGCCAGAGATTATGCTATTGAATACTTGCCGACAGTCATTGAGTCATTGGAAGCCAAAATACAAGAACATAAAATAAAGGTAAGCCGTGATAATTTAATATCTAATAATATACGTCACATTACTTTGTATGGTATTAATTACATATTCACGGTTTATATATTATTCATAGAGGTTATGTTTTATTATTTACTTCATGTTTTATTCATAGGGTTTATCAGTGCCGATCAACACACAGAAAACACCATTTGATGGCTCTTTACTGGTACGATTATCCTGAAATTTAAATAAAAAATTATCATTATTATTATTATTATTATTATTATTATTATTATTATTATTATTATTATTATTATTATTATCATCATCATTATTATAATCATCATCATCATATTAATATTATTATTATTATTATTATTATTATTATATCTTGTATATAATTATAATTAAAATGACTACAGTGTATGATAATTATGGTTATCTTTTTTTTTTCAGTACAAAAAGAAACGAATCGGCCAGAAATCATTAGTATGCTTAATAATTTAAATAGAATGAGAAGAGAAGAGAAGCTAAGGAAATCATGTTCTAGCCTTATAGGTGTCTAAGTAATGGGTGCTAAAAAATAGGAGCGACGAATTGAACTTGCCGCATTATCGAGCAGTGGTGAAGCCGCATGGGTGCCACCACTGCTATCGATAAAATATCCATTGTAAGCATATTCATTCACCGTTATTATTGTTATTATTGTTATTAATACTGATCAATAGTATCTGGATTTGTATCGATATTTTAATATATTTTTCAATAAATAAATCAATCAGCATCAACGTATTGGTTTATTTATTAAAAATATATTAGTTATTATTATTATTATTATTATTGTTATTATGCAATAGTTTTATTCATTGCGAATTGTAGATATATGTTAGATGTAAATACAATATCATGGAGTATTATTGGTACGTTTGTAAAAACATTTCCATTTTATATTATTCGGTCAGTGGGTCGATCGATGGGTGTAATGGGCTGGTGGTTCCTATTGTGGGTGAGCGGATTCATCGATATACTGAAATGGTTTGGTTAATGGATAATCGGATTTCACCCCCTTTATCAGTGGCCGAGTGGGTGAGATCGTCGATAGGTCGATGGATTGATCGGGTGGTTTATTCAATAACTGGCACATTATAGGCTTGAAATAGTATTCATTTCGCCCAGTTAACAGATGATATTTGACGCTCTTCAATTCATATTGAGATTACGATATATTCTTATATTCTATTTGTTTTACTTTGTTATGTCTTTAGAATGCACCACCCTTGTGGCTGAGTGCCCCTGCCCTGATTACAAGTGGGTATCCAAATAAAGTAGGCCTATTATTGTTGTTGTCGTTGTTGTTGTCGTCGTCGGCGTCGCCGACGTCGTCGTCGCAGGGGTGGTGCCAGGACTTGCCCGACGGGGCCAGTTCCCCCGACAAGGGGTCAGATTTCCACGACGAAAGCAAAGTGGGCTGGTAGAGCTTTGATTAAAAGGTTTCGAAAGTGGTCCAGGGAGCCGAGCCCCGAAAATTTTGACAATTTAGGGGTTTCAAAGACTTACCTAATCGATTTTAGAGCCTACCGTACTAATAGACCTATGTAGCAAATACATACAATTTTTTTTTCTCCCCCGACGAATTGTGCTTTTTCTCCCCGACGAGGGCCCTGGCTCCCTGGCCCCCGCTGGCGCCACCCCTGCGGCGTCGTCGCCGTTGTCGGCGTCGGTGTCGTCGTCATTATTATTATTATTATACAGGTCTCCGTCCAATTGAAGACCCTTATGGGACTGGGCATGGTCTTTAGCAGCTTTGTTTCTAATAAGAATAAAGATAAAATAAACGGGTTAATTTGGGATCACAGAAAAGTAGGCCTAGTGCTTAATTGGAGGTGGTCTTAAAGCCGGTTTTACCATAACCTACGCGAATTTATTCGCGCGAATCAAAAGCGTTGGTTTATGTGGATCAGTATTTCGGACTGTTTCTACTTCTTGCGAGTCGAAAAGGTGCGCAACCAACCGAGAAGCGAACCGTACCGACGCTTTCGATTTGAGCAAAAATATATTCACCTAGTGTAAAACGGGCTTTGATTGGGGTCTTTTATTAGAGGGCGGGGAGACTTGTAAGATTATGAAGATTTATACATACCATTTTTTGCTTAATTAACAAAAAAAAAAAGGGGAAAAAGAAGCATACTTAGGCCTACCTCCTAGTTTACTTTAGGATTTGTGTAGGCCTACATAGTGTAAGGCACGGAAGTTTTGTTTCGTACAATAAAAAAAAATAACTGCTACCTTTATGTTGTCATGCTTCAGTTTCTGAAAAATATATGATTAGTACGAATACATGCATATGCAAAATGGTATCTTGAGTAGGCCTATATAAACTGACATTTTATGGATGAGGGGTGGCTTGAGCCCTTAGCAGGGACGTAGCCAGGATTTTGAAAGGGAGGGAGCCGTTATGCGAGGTACGTAGGACCCCGTGGGGGTCCAGGAGAGAAGCCCCGGAAATTAGCGCGCTCTGAAAATTTTTAGGGCTGTTCTGAGATGATAAAGTGAAAATCGCAATAAACGCATTATAAATAATATAGTAATCCTAACAATAATTTTATAAAACTTAACAGTGGTGGATCCAGAAATTCAACAGAGAGGTGACCCAGGGAGGGACTTTTACAGATTGAGGAACACCCAAGAAAATTTATGATTAGGGCACTTCTAGATGGCTGGAAATTACACTCTCAGACTTAATTTTGGATCGAGGCATATATTTTTCTCTTTTTTTTTTCCATTAAAAAGAAATTAGATAGAGGGGGCCTCCAATCCACCACTGCTCAAAACATTCTTTATCCAAAATAGGCCTAGTCATAATCACGAAAAATGGGCATGTAAATCCAGCACACCCTAAAAACAAATTTATGCACTCCCGCCTTATCAGCAGTCACTAAGACATACTCTGAGTCAGGTGTCGACTCGATGGAGTTTAATGTCAGGAAGGGCACAATCTGTTTTGAAAGGTGGAGGTGGGGTGGGGGGATATTTCGTGAGCCGTCACCCACCTCAGTCCCACCATGGTTGGATCTGAAGTGCGAAAATTTGAGGAAATAGTACCTCTAGATGACCAGAAAATGACATTTTTTGTAAAATTCATCATCATCACATCACTGTTACATACAATGCTGTAGCCAGGATTTTCAAACAGTGCGGAACAATATCATTGTGGAATCACTTTACGCGTAAATTCAAATAATGTGGACCCATTTTCTTAAAAGTGGACCCATTTTATGCAAAAATATGAAAAATCTGTACGGTACCCATTTTCTTAAAAGTTGGCCAATTTTACGCGAAAATATGAGAAACCTGGACCTATAATTCAAAAACAGGACTCATTTTGTGCTAAAACAGCATAATTTAGACCTATTTTTGAATGTAGACCCATTCTTTGTGGACCCAATAGAAAAATTGTGTGGGACAGTCCAACTGTCCCAATAGCTGGCTACGGCATTGATTAGGCCTACATATACTCAAAATGAATCGCCAACAAATTTCTCAAGATCTTTTATCAGCGATTTTCGGCAACCATAGAGATCTTATTAATATGTGTGATATACCATCATAGAAAAATAAAGCTTATAAACATTGTTTTTGGGTACCGTACGTACTCTATATACTTCAAAGCCGTGATTTCACAAACATCTCAGGCCCACCATGGTTGGGGCTGAGGTGCGAAAATTTAAGGAAATAGTATCTCATCACCATCACCATTATATAGTAAAAATAAAGCGCCAACAAATTTCTCATAATCTTTTATCAGGGAGCTAGTCCTACCTAATATCCAAGACAACTTAGGCCTAACTATAGCTTACTAAGCTTTAACTATACTATAATAATTGTGATCAACAAATCACAACTTACTTTTTCGCCTTTAGCACAATTTTCTTGACTTCTTAATATTATTATCTATTATCACCATCGTACTACTAATAGTATTATAGTATTAAAACAAAACTTTACAGAGCTTGCAAAACGATAAAACCAAACTGAACCATACAAATATCACATTTCTGTATCTGAAAGACCTGATTTAAGATTTTTTAAAATCACACTTAGGCCTATGTGTTATTATAGTAGGCATATGTATAACGTGTGCTGATGCATTACATAAATTAAAAGTATTTATTTTGAGTGATCCTTGGAAAGAATTTGTATCTAGCAAAAACAAACTTTAAAATTTTAACACCGTATACAACGGCTCCCCCGCCCCACACTACCGTATACGTCCCTGGCCCGGGCTTTATCAATCTCAGCTTAGCAAATGTCTTAAGTCAAAAAAGTTAAGATGTCCCTATCTTAAGCTGATTTATTACCCAATCTTGGCAAAATCTTGGCTTAAAAATCGTCTTAGATGGCGCCAACGTACAATTGACTTTCTAATTTTAAGCAATTTTTAAGCTAAGCAATATGGATAAATTTGACTTATGCAAAAAATGAACTTAAGACGAATTTAAGCTGATTTCTAGTTTGATAAATCTGGCCCCCGGCCCCTAGATACGCCACTGGACTGCAGTCAAGGATCTTTGACTGCACTCCATCACTTTTTGGTTGGTATGGTAACTACACTGAGACAATTTAGGACTAAGGTACAATAGTCCTAATGCTAGTAACTTAATTTATAAATCAAAACTTGGAAAAGTGACGTTTAATAACATACAAAAGCAGTGTGAGCTCTTCCTTGATAAAACAGCATTTTAAAAAAATCACTTGTAAAAACGACCCTATATTTTCGATGTTAGGATCGGTTTGTGTCACTTATGTTTTTTTTAATGTGACGGGCTAAAAAATATTAATAGCGCCATCTATCAGCATAGGCGGCGGCGTCGGCGATTGATGGTGTTTTATTTTATGTCTTGTATCTATCTATATTCTTTGCTTGTATCTTGACGTAAATCTTAGTATGTTTTAAAGCCTTCGCCAGCGAGCAACATCAAGCTGCATATTACCATCTGAAAGTAGGGGCAAAGTTTCGAACACGGTGCATTCGTTGATGAGGTAAAAAATAAACTATGTATTTAGGCTTGTCTTTTGAATAGTATAAGCACGATAGTCAGTGTTATTCAATTATAAATTGTGTTTAATGTTGGATGAAGGCGTCAAACGATTCGGTGCGAATTTCTGGATTGAAGCGGAGTCACTTCACCTGATGAAGAAGAGCTGTCAATGTCAAATATACACTAGGCCCAGCCTCGTATTTCTTACTGCTGTCAGGTTTTTTTTTGTTTTTGTTTTTTTTGTTTTTTGTTTTTGTTTTTGTTTTTTTGTTTTTGCTTGACTAGGCCTCGATATCATTCTTTTAATTATTATAATTCTTATTCTCAGGTTTATTATTTGCACACAGAACGAGAATAAATTAGTACTGTATGTTGTATCAGGGAGTTGTCACAAACAGGCCACCCTAGTTGTATAATTAGGTCTACCAGCATTTCTACATGCAAACTAACTTTGATTGTGCTATGTGAAGATTTAGTCACTACGCTCAAAATCGAGGTGAGGCAATGCTTGCGTGCCCATAATAGACCTGTCAATCAACTTACCAATCGGAGCAGGGTGGAATACGCGTTTCTTCCGACAAACGTGCTTGGTTGGTAGACCAACAGCACACAGTGACATACTGTATGTTTATGCTATCGTTTTTGTGGGACCTTACCAATCATATCCAAGAGGCCGGGTGTATCGGACTGGTCTCTTATCAAGCCGGGAATAAGACTTCAGTAGACATCATGTGATCAGGTCCGCTTGGTAATTTCAAAATTTTAGGTGAATCATTTGGTTGTGTTCAATTTCATAATACACATTCCAAAACCCACCCCTCCCCTACTACGCCTGCTGATAACAACACAGCGATTTTGCTGGGTGCTTATTTACTCAAACATACTGTATGTTTGAGTAAATTAGCACACATGTGCAATTAGCACACATCAAATTTTGTTTTGTGTGATTTTGGTTCTAGCCAATAAAAAAATTAAGTACCAGTTAATTAAAACCATACAATTTAGTTAAAAAATCATTTTACATAAGTATTCATTTTAGTTACTTTTCTTTGTACTGTAATGATCTTTATTTTAGATTAACCCCAAAAATGAGAAACATGTTGTTTTTTCAGTTTGGCCTTATTGAGCCGATAGGAGAATGAATTATAATTTGCCAATTTGTTGTACACTTAGTGCATTCTGGCTGAAGTAGGTCCAAGCCATTATGCTAATATATGAAGGTACATTGTTGCATACTGTATGATTGATTTAACTTGCTCTATATCTGTGAATTATAACTATGCAAAGCCGCAGTATATTCCAAAACTGTCCCATTAAATATTTTAAATTTCCCAAATGAGCTTGGATTTAGTTTCGTAACTCACGATTTACATATTTGCTTACGAATGGATTCACTTTTCCCCTACTGGGTAATTATTTGTCTGATTGTGTCATGCATGTTGTTCTTACGAAAAGGTTAACAGCGATCTTGTACATTATGTGGAATACTTCTATGATAAATGCCAACAATTTGTGTGGTTCTTAAGTGTAAGTATGCCTTCAGGGTTTTTTTTGTGGGGGGGTGGGGATGGGTGGGGAATATAGAGTTTATAGTAGCCAGTTAGAAGCTGATTATCACGTAGGAACTTTACACTACATTCAGATGCTGCCATATATATTATAGTCGTTTTCTATTATAATGTGATACTACTGTATTGTGGAAAAGCTTCCATGGCACTTACTGAGTATTGATATTGCGTGTAAACGCAGGGAGATGAGTAAGCCAATGGCCGCTGAGAGCGGTCGCGGGCTCCCCATTAGTAGGTGGTCTGAAGACCGTCTGGGGCCCCAGCGAGATCAAGGGAAAGATCCCTGGTGGTGTCATAAGAGACACCCCCTCCCCCTTCTCCTTGGAAGCTATGGCCTTTTAACGGATTAGAGGACTAATTTAATCGATTAAAGAGTGCCTAATTTCACCAGGTTATAAAAAAGATAAAGTACAGAAACAAAAAAAGTAAAAGCTATCCTTACTTTTATTCAAATGTGCTAGAAAGATTCATAATATACAGTAGGTATCAAAGTTTACAGTGGCGCATACCAGAATTTGAAATAAAAGGGGTCCAGAGAAGGACTGTCACAATGGATGGTCTATCATTTCCTCAGCTCCACCATGGTTGAAGAAAATTTATGATTATGGCGCCTCTGGACGGCAGGAAATGGCACTTTTAGACTTAAATTTGAGTAGAATTTTCTTTTTTTTCTCAATTTTTGTTAAATTTTGAAAGATTCCGCCACTGATTTAATACATTAATTCAGTATTTATTTGGCAATTGAATCTCTATCAGGTCTATTCATATTTTCTAACTTGTATGTATATTCACAATGTCCAGGGTCCAAGCCTTTTATAATTATAAATTAATAACATAAATAACTTACTATTTGATACATTGTAAACATAAACTCTAGAGTAGTAGTCGTGAAGTCATAAAAAAAAAGAATTACAATTCAGCTTTATTTACAATAATCGTAGGAAAAACACATGAATGATACTGGATGAATGTATACGTTTAATATTTTTTTTATTTTATTTTTTTATTTTTAATAATTTTACCTAGTTATTGTGGGCCCCAGATATTGCCCGACCCTTTCCCCCGGGCACTTGCCCCGGTTACCTCGGCCTCTTGGCACCACTGAAGCCAATACCAGGCCAACAGTTTCCTATGGTCGCCGGCCATCAAGATTATTACGCATTGTTAATTAATTTTTTTTATGTATAAAACGGGTACAAAAGACTATTATTTGTCAATGCATACAACCACCAGGTTGAATGTACAGTTAATACATACTTAGTTGTTAGCTCTTAAAGTACTTTAGAGGCTCTTATGGTAGACAAACTACTTTAGTTGAGAACTCTTCTCCCGAAACCTACAATACAGTAATTTTGGGTTGAAAGATGTCATTAAAAACATGAATTTTTCTAATTTTGCCTAATTTAAAGACTTACTACAATGTATGGAATATGAATAATAAAATGATGAAATATTGTAATATGGATTGGAGGTCAGTTTTCAGGGATTAGCATTAATGCTGTAGCTTCAGTATGTTGGATGGCGCCGATGGCATATGACATGCACATGTCAACTGGGACCCAGTGCAAAATAGCCAACTCATGCTGGAATGAAATGTGCATAACATTTAAAAAATATTAAATGGTTGTGCCAATCTTATATTTGAAGCAAAGGCATATTATATTTGTGCCTGTTTTTAGCATATACTGTAAACAATTATAGTACTACTTACTATAGACACTACAGTACACATCACATGTAGTCTGCAACTATTAAACACTAGTAATCATGATAGTCATACAGTAATCTTTATCAGTAAGCTGTAGTTGTCATGGTCACCATATCATCATTAATCACCATTTATTATTATTATCAATAATTTTCATCATCATGTGAGATGAGCTTAGCTCAGTCTGCTAAACTGCTGGTAGCCATTGTGTGTGTGTGTGTGCGCTGAACTGTGAAGATCTCTTGGTCCCCGGTTTAATTCCCATTTCTGCTCTCCTTGTCTGAAATGCAAGTTACAATAGTGCACCGTCTTTGGGATGAGACATTTAAGCTGTTGATCCCGTGTGCATTTATGGCCCATGTGTAGTTTAAAAAACGCATCTCTTCCGAAATTAGTAGGGGATTGTCTCTCGGTGTACTGCCCAATCACTACCAGAAGGACCCACTGGAAATTAGTCTTCTTCAGACTTTCGTGGTTTATCCTTGGTGCACCAAATAAATCCATCCATCTACCATTGTAAAATTTTTAACCATCATCACCATTGGCATCATTATCATTATCAACATGATTGTAAAATTTCCATTCATCGTCATATTTATCATTTTCAAAATCATTATTATCATCATCATATCAGTAACACCATTTATCATCATAATATCATCATCATTACCATGCTTATCTTGATCATTAGTCATTTCAAAATCATTATAATTATCATTCTCACTAACACCATTTATCATTCATCATATTATCTTCCTCAGTACCACATTTATCAAGATCATTATCTGTCATTCAACATCATCAAAATCATATTAATGATTTCATATATCATAATTAATCATCATTACAATTGTCATCATCTTTGGTACAAAAAATCATAGTCACTATTTGTCATAGTAATCATCATACATCACCATTATTATAAAAATCATTATCATTATTTTCAACATTATCACGATCATCATATCAATTACTGTACTATTCATGATCATCCTTGTTATTTTTATAATTCCATTCATATTGATAATTATTGTGCTTTGAATTGGTTTCAAGTACTGTATTTTGTATGGTGTAGATGATGTTTGATGTTGATAAGTCCTTATGTTATAGTTGGTAAGCAATGACGTATAATTACATTAGGTCTTCTGTGAACAAACAAGGAAGAATGCTAATAGAATTAAGCCACTACTCTTTAGAGCTTCAACTATTATTTGGTGTGATTGATTTTCATACAAGTTGCGGTTTCGCAATCGTCGAATTCACACCTTTGTACTAATATTAGGTGAATGTACTGCGCATACTAGGAGTTTGAATTTTCACAAATCAATAGTCGAACGTGTATTTTCCAATTAAGCAATTTCTTGGGTGGTTATTAAAACGAAACTGGAGAAGTCTTACGATATAAATCTCAAATAATGGAATGGAAATTGAAAATTCCCAAATCAGTGGATGGCTTTTATTCCTTAGCTTCCGACTCTAAAAATATGATTTTTTAATTGGATTTAAATAAATTTCTCATGACGTTAACAATCACAGAAAATGCACAACAAAAAGAATAAATGCCAAGTGCTTGTCATAAATTATTCATACATCATATTTTATGATTGTAAAAATGAATATTTTACTCTTTTCAGATGATATTGTAGATATAGAAACATAGTAGATTAAAAAACTGGTGATATGAAAAATTTATTAATATTCAATTATCTAATTAATCGTATCTAT